TTATAAAAGGCACATTCGGTAATCATTTACAAAAAATAAAACATGTCGCGATTGTTTACAACATAGATGAAAAATTGGTTAATTAACAGATATGACACGTTTTAAGTCTATCAATCAACACGTTCATGTAAAAATAAGTAATTTTGCTAACTTTTAACGGTAATGTCTTAATGTTTATAGTGTTGGGAACACTACAACTCCCGATAAATATTTTTTTTTATTTTTCGTAATACTCTTGAGCAGATCCCTTTTGAAAATTGCGTTTCATTACTTTTCGGTTTAATTATAATCGATTACTATATAAGATATTTTTTTAAGCGCAAATATTTCAAGGGCGTGTTCGGGCCATGAAACTGAACAACTTTTTACAATGAACTTATGTTGAAAAATTAAAACGAATTTTTGGTTTTCCATACAAAATTGCTATGATCAGCTGATTGATTTCCTATGGGAAGACCAAAATTTTGCGACTTATGTTTCTTGGCGAAGGTTGTTCAGTTTCATGGCTCGAAAACATCCTTAAAACATTTGCGCCCAAAAAACTATGATCTTGTATAATATCTAATTTATTTCGAGAAAAAGGCGAATTGTTTATTTTCTTAACTCAGTCATGATCTGTGGTTGTTTGATTTATTATAAAATATACATTAATTTTATGAGTTAATAAAGAAATATTATAGGACCTTTTTTTTAATCGATTATCATATCGATCATGTTTCGAGATTATTGAGAGCTAGTGACGGTAATATGCCTATTAATTTTGTGCAAGGTGTTGCTTAAAGAAGTCGATATTGAATGTGTCATCTCTGAATTTGCCCAAATTGAATCCAGAAAAGTTTCATTGTAGCAGTTTTGTTAAATTTAATACCCTTAACTTGAGAACCTATAGCAAACCAAGGGCTTCTTGACAGAATTGCTACAGACCCCGCGCTGGCTTAATCCGGCACTGGTTCTATATAGAGTTTTTTTCTGAATGTAAATTCTTTCCGACGTATTCGCGAGTGAAAGTGAAGTGCGTCTAACAGTGACTGAAACAAATTGTACAATTGAATTAATATGATTATTATTTTCTCAGGTACTATCAACGGAAACATGCACAGGCCGCACAGCGTCGCTNCATAAGCTCAACATCCATTTCCTCTATAGACTCAGCGTCAGAAAGAATTTTTATGTTTACTCTGTCCATAAAAGTCCCACGAGTAGCTAGGGAAAGAAAGTCAATCACGGCAGAGCCCCGCATTAGTGCGGTATCTCGAAGGTTCCGTAGACACAGCTGATAGGCTCAGTGTCATTCATCCTCTCGGCACGGATACCCACCTTAGGATTAAGCCATCGTTGGGATGCTATTCAGTTCTGGAATAAAAGAACCACAAGTTATTCTGTCATTCCCGTTTCCAGCAGAGCTACGTGGAAGCAGGCATCCGATGACCGGTTTGCTCAACCCCCACATCCCAAGCCAATGCACTCGCCAAAAACAGCATGCATAGTGGTTTAGGCAGTGAAAGATGAACAAAGACAGCCAACCCACCTCTCATTCAAAGTATGTAAACGTTTATTTTTACCACGCTAGTGCTGTTAGACAGAAATGACTCTAATAGATAGGCCGCCCATTTTTCTTGTCAGTAACCACGGCACAGGTGTTTTCTTCTATAAGGTGCAGTGAACAACCGCTAGCGGTTTTAGACACGTCTGAACGCGTCGCACCAGTCGCTGGTCACTAGCTCATTATGCGCTGCACTTGGCTTGGCTTGGCAAATTCAGATACTTTTACTGTCGATAGCCACAAGCGCCATCTAGTGGCATCGTCTAAATCAGGCCACCTGCTGCCGCCAGAAGCTGACATCTTCTATATCTAAATAATACTCAAGTTAACACGTAGTGACATGAGCGGCAAAAAGATGCAATGAAATAAAGGTGTTCGCTGGATAGTGAGTTCAAGCCCTGCTGTCCATTTGGTGGCTCTGGTGAGCAGCACTAGAGGGTCAGTAAATGAAGAGGTCAGTCAGTCATCGCTCCGTCACACGATATTATTGAGATTACACTGAGGAATCCACCCTGCATCGGAGGAACGTTAGAATATCCCTGCCAGGTAGGTATCACCTGTGGAAGTGGAGTCCTCCTAAATGACGCCTTATCCCAAGGAATATGATTCAGTGTCACTAACAAACCTTCGAGATACCGGCCGCCTTCTTGTCGTGGAAAGCCATGTCACGGTAATGCGGTAATGCCGTGATTCAGTGTCACTAACGAACCTTTGAGATACCGGGCGCCCTCTTGTCGTGGAAAGCCATGTCACGGTAATGCGGTAATGCCGTGATGTACTATTTTTTCTAGCTACTCGTGGAACACATTATGGTAAATGAGGTAACCAAAACCTCGAACCTGAGTACAGAGAGGATGACCGTCTACTAAACGACTCAAACACTCCTCCCTGTTACAAAGGATTAGGAGAAAGGAATTCTCAGTTCTCCAGCTTTTGAGTAGTGACATCGAATCAAGAGAGGAAACTTCTCATTTCTCCAACTCTTGAACAAACCTACGAGAATAGGCGGAGAAGTCAGGAGCAGGTTCAGCAAATAACTTGAGTCTATAAGGAGATGGACGTCAACTAAATGACCTCAACTATCCTCCATGTAACGAATTATCACGAGAAAAAGCTTCTAGTTCTCCAGCTTTTGTGCTGAGTTTATAGAGAAGATGGAGGTTGACCAAACCATCCCAACAAACTCTTGACATCGGATCAAGAGCCAGAGCTTCCCAGTTCTCCACCTCTTGACTAAACCTACGAGGTTTCCTCTAGATTGAGGAAAATGTACCATGATCTGAAACCTTGTAGATGATTATTTCTAGGAAATTCAGGCTCTGGTATCGGAGCACGTACTGTGTGTCTGTCTTGTTGCGAATAGGATCAGGTTTTCAGCTTTTGGTAGTATCCCACTATTGTCAGCTGATATGCAAAATCACTAAACAAATAAACGAATTGTCTAAAATTATTTTTGTTTTCACTAAACAGAATATTATTTTCATTCTATGGTGTTTATCGCGGAAATGATAATTTTCTACTAATTTTGGTAAGTGGTATACTCGTATAAAGCCAACCGGTCGTCTTACTGAAGGTATACAGTAAGGTCTTTACAGATTTTCTATTCACATTCTTTTTAAATATTCATATAGTTTTTTCACATTAATTGTTATTTGAAGTCCATTCTGTCAAAAAAACTTTCATTTCTTCTGTTGATTTCCAGATCGAACCTGAAGAAAGGCGAGGAGGGTCCCTTGATGCAACGTCGTCACTCGACGTACAGCCACAAGCGTCGGCGGGACCTCTCCGAAGCAGAATCTGTAGAGCCTTCCAAGTTGTGCGGTATAATTCCGTGCTCCAAGGAGGTCAGCGAGATGCTCGACTTTTCTCTCTTCGGAGACGTCATCTTTATCCTCTTTTCCACTAGCAACCTGCTGACCAGCATCGGCTTCAACATCCCCTACGTGTACCTGATGCCGAAAGCTACCTCTCTCGGCATGCTCAAGGAAAAGGGCAGCATGCTGATCGCAGTCATCGGCGGTGCAAATACCGTCGGCAGAATCGTTCTCGGCTACGTTTCGGACAAGCCGTGGATCAACAGGCTGTACATCTACATTTGGAGTTTGACCATTTGCGGTGCAGGTGAGTGTTTATAATGTCTATTGAGGTTATCTGTTTTTTTTCTGTTGTGACAAGTTGAAAGGTAACAACATGACGTCACTCCTAATTGAAAATGGCGGACTCCTAAAGTTGGAGGACTATGTTTTTCATGTACCTACCCATATGATATGGAAATGAAATGAAAGAATTCAAGGGGAAAAATCAAAATGAGTGAAAACAAGATATCCACCGTGCCGATTTTAAAATGTTACAAATTGGCCAAAAGATAGGGATAGTTGGGTGGTATTCGAAAAAATGTTATAGGTATCGACCATTCAAAAATGTCGCATTAAATGAAATAAACACTGAGATCATGTCCAGCGATAACTGAAAATTGAATCAATAGTTCAAAAATATTTTCAAAACCAACCTTTTATAAAATGATCTAAAAAGAACAAAATAATCTCTTAATTAAATATAACCCATCGATTCATTTCATAGCACAATGTTAGTGAAATAAAAGCTTTTCTCGAAATATACCTATTCATTCAAATAAGAATACAATATATAGGGCGTTCTCCCCTATAAGTCAGAAACGGACATATAATCGAAAATTTCAAAGAACACATCAATGTTTATTTCTAGGGGGAGTAATTCTGATAACTTCACTCCACTGCGGTCAGCAACTACCCCCCCAATTTTTTTCAATGACATGAGGGGGTCGAATGATTCATCATTTGAAAGATATTTTGTCCCTCTTTTAGTTCTGTAATTTATTTCGAAATTGGTTCATTCGTTATTGAGAAATTAAATGCTGAACGTTTCATTTAAGAAAAAACAGAAAATTCGCTGTCGCTCATTTTATTGAGGAAATCAACAAAAGTAATGTCGATGGCAACACAATCAACGAATAAAGTGTTCAAAATGACCTCCATCTAATTCCATACAATAATACAGTCTACTTTCGAAAGCGTTCCTTACATTATTGAAGATGTCTGGAGTCAGAAAGAAAGAAAGGTCTTCTAGATTTGTAGAATTTATTTAATGAGTAGTAAACGTTCTGAAATAAACGAGACTGTTAGTTTTTTCTGCACTGATAATTTTTGTTGAATCTAGTTGTCGCAGAACAAAAAGTAGATAGTTGGTCACTGCGTTACTTCTTCACGAATTATTATTCAGTCATCCTGGTTCACTGGGTTCCAACATGGTTTATTCTACTGAAGAAAGAATAGAAATTATTGCAACCTATTATCGAAATAATGAATGTGCTAAAGCTGCTGCAAGAATTTATAATACAAATCATCCAGACCATAACGTGAGCCATCAATACGTTAAACAGTTAATGGATAAGTTTCGAACTTCAGGTTCTGTTCACAACAGAAAACGTAAAGTATCCCGTCCTGTCAGAAATGACGGAGTTGAAGTTGCAGTTTCAGGACATGTACAAATGGATAATCGACAATCTATCAGACAAGTAGCTAGAGCGTCTGGTGTATCAGCTACTAGTGTTTTTCGGATTTTGAAAGCCTACAAATTCCATCTTTTCAAAATGAGACTAGTTCAGGAATTGAACTAAGATGATCCTGATCGTCGACTTCAGTTTTGTGAGGTATTCAGCGAGGAATTGATCTATAACCCAAATCTATTATATAATAGGTACATGTCTTTCAGACGAAAGTTCTTTCATGTTGAATGGTGAAGTGAATAGACATAATTGTCGTTACTCATTTGTTGATGGAAACACATTCACAAACTCCACAAAAATTGAATGTCTGGGCCGGCATTCTTGGTAATCATATTGTTGGACCATTCTTCATTGAAGGTAATCTCAATGGAGACACATACTTAAATCTATTACAAGACTATGTAGATCCTATGATTACACACATTTTAGAAAATGATGACAATTTAGTAGAAAATGAAATAACATTCCAGCAGGATGGTGCACCCCCACATTTTGATGTTCGGGTGAGACAGTTTTTAGACGACCGTTTTCCAATGCGTTGGATCTGCAGAGGAGTCCAGTGGAGTGGTCAGCTAGATCACCTGATCTCACACCGATGGACTTCTTTCTGTGGGGACACCTGAAATCGAAAGTGTACCGTACTGAGCCTACAAATCTAGAAGACCTGCGACAGAATTGTTCGGGAATGCCGATTGCTGACTCCGGACATCTTGAATAATGTACGGAGTAGACTGTATTATTGTATGGAACTAGCTGGAGGTCATTTTGAACAATTCATCCGTTGATTTTGTTTCCACTGATATTATTTGTTGTTGATTTCCTCAATAAAATGAACAACAGCAAATTTTCTGTTTTTTCTTAAATAAAACGTTCAACATTCAATTTCTCAATAACGAATGAACCAATTTCGAAAAAAATTACATAAGTAATAGATGATGATGTATCACTCGACCCCTTATGACATTGAAAAAGGTAGGGGGGTAGTAGCTGACCGCAGGGGGTGAAGGTTTCGGGTATGATTTTCATAACAGAACTAGTCCCCCAAGAAATGAAAATTGACGTATCCTTTAAAAGTTTCGATTACATGTCCGTTTCTGACTTGAAGGGGGGTCAAGTTTTCGTTGGAACGCCCTGTATAACTTGATTTTGATATCAGTTGTTCTGAGACAAAAAATATATATTTACAAAAAATGAGTAAATCTCACGACAAGCGTTAATATATCAATTGTGTAATATAATACGAGTAAATTGGTGGGTTTTATTAAATTTAAAGTGTATTTTTTGAACGTGTTATTAAAAGCTTATTTTTGAAAATTGTATGTTTCTAATAATTTGTTATGATACATTTTATATAAATACATTTTGTGAAATATGGTACAAATCTTTTATATATCGAAATGCGTTTCCTGCTTTGAGGCATAATTTTGATGCGCCACTGCTTTCTCTCACAGTAAAAATTATTTTCAAATCATCACTGGTTTCATGATTTTTCTTTTTCGAATATAAAATAGAATTCGATTCAATTATTCTTACTTTATTATCAAATTCGATTTTATTAAGGAAGTGGACAGAAGAAAAAGAAAAAATGTATGTCAGAAAAGATGAGGATTTCCAAAAAATAGAAAAAGCATTGGCGTATCTCTTTTCTATTCAAAATTATTTAGTTTGAATCGGCCTCGGACGCCACTGGCAAGAATAAAAATTGTCTTTATATACCTAAAGGCCGCCATACACTGCAATGTTGCCCGACACTTTTAACCGTGACGAGTAAAATTGTGCGTGCAAAATTGCAGTGTGTGGCGTAGTACTGACAATCTTACTCGGCAATTTGAATTACAGTCGCCACCATAATTTTACACGTACGTGCCAACAGGTTCGTTCAAGTCGACGTGTGTGTGGGCATAGTAATCTTAACCGTCATTCATCGACAGCGAAAACTCGTTAAAAAAGGGTGTGTTTCTTGCAAAAATAATTCGAACATGGATACAAGAACTTGGATCAAAGATTTAGTAATAGAGTTTATTGAGTTATATAGAAGTCACCCTTGTTTGTGGAATGTAAACTGCAAACAAAATAATGAAAAACAAAGCGTACCAGGAATTAGTGACGAAAGTACAGCAGGTAGACCCTGATGCGACGAAGGAGACTGTCGAAAAGAAAATAGATTCCATGAGAGGATCAGTAAGAAAAGAAAGGAAGAAAGTAATAGATATCAAAAAATCCGGCGTAGAAATTAAGAAGAAATATTTAGGACTTCCATTGTCTAAAACGGAAAGGCATAATTCTATGCTAGAACAGATAAAATTAAATTACTGTGAAATTATGAAGTGCTGAAAATGAAAACTGCTGAAATAATTAAACGATATGTTGAAAATAAAATAACTAAAGTACGTCTTTTTGTAACTTCAATTCAGTTAACAAATTAACATGTGAAAATTGCTGTCTTTTTAGCAGCCAATCTTTTGACCACCTGAGACGTTTTTTTCTATTTTACCTTTTTACCATTAATGCCGCTGCCACTGCCAGTTTATGTGCTCGTTTCATCGTGTCGCTGTCCAAACTACCTGCGAACTGGCTTTGTGACCTGACAATGTATGAACGCTTCGTCCCTACAATTTTGCATGCACAATTTTACTCGCCACGGTTAAAATTGTCGGGCAACATTGCAGTGTATGGCGGCCTTAAAAGATGCGTACTACATTTCACAAAAATATCTAGGATCATACAAAACAAACGTATTCAAAAAACACTTTGTTAGATTTTCACTAATCACGTGTTTCGACATAAAATGGTTTCTTTACTTTACTTTAAAGTAAAGGCAGGCTTCGGGCGTGTCTTTACATTATTTCACTAATCACAAACTAACTTAGCAACTAACGCTTTATTTATTTCCTTTATTTGAATTCCTTGTTTAGACGCTCGACTCACTTTTTGAACTGCCCTCTTAGGTCGGGAAAACGTGCTTATATCGATAACGATCCTTTCTAGAAATCTGTAGTCGGTTCGGTCCTAGAATTTTACCGGCGATTCCCGAATGCATTCTTTCGCGGTGATGTCATGTGTTTGTACGCTGAGTAGCTGGCGTATCGGTCAGGGGCGGCTTCAGATTCGTTACAATACAATAGCTCCATCCGGCTGTTCATACTCATATTTAGTATGATCACGCCACAATAAAGTGTCACTTGAATAGAAAAAAGAATACTTTTAACCCCTGTGGTGAAATCCATTCAACTATTTTTTCACATTTCTGTCGTTCGACATTTTTATTATTTATCTTCTCTTTGTTTTCAGCTACTTTTTTTAGTGCCTTCCTCGAAAGTTTCTATTCGCTAGCGGTGTACAGTGCCGTATTTGGCTTCACGGCCGGCGCATACGTCGGTCTCACTTCCGTCATCCTCGTCGATCTGCTCGGGCTCGAGAGGCTGACCAACGCTTTTGGTCTTCTCCTCCTCTTCCAGGGTATCGCCTCGCTGGTGGGACCTCCGATAGCAGGTAAGTTCCTAGAAGATAATAGGTTAATAGTTAAAATAGGCAATCATCAGAAGTTCTCATAAATAGCTCAGTTCAAAATTTCTCTTATAGTTCAATATTATTTATCCTTGGAAAAAAAAATTTGGACCTTTCATTCAGTTCATTCATTCATGTTTTTTACTAATTTCATTTGTAACTAACGTTACTGCAGTTTCGTCCTATATGGACATTTTCAAACTTGAACAATATACTAAGAATGATTCATTACATTCGCTAATATATACCATTCAGGTACTTGATTGAGTACCTGAATTTACAGTTCACAATGCGTATGTGCCAATTTAAAACCAGAGAGTAAATTAAATTGATTTGGTCATTTAACAGGTTGCACCCGCAATGTTTATGCTTGTGAATTTCCAAGGATTCTATATAATTGAGTTTGCAACCCTTCCTTGCATAGTGCAGAATTTCCGTATCGTTTAAATTCGGAAACTTGTGGTTGCATGCCAAGGAATGGGTAACGTTAACATATTTTGGAAAAAGAACAGAAATTATCGCAGTTTTCTTCAGAAAAAACAATGTGGAAGTAGCATTCAGACCAAATGCCTGGTTATCTCATTTTCTTTTCAATGCCAAAGATAAGGTCGACAAGTTGGAAAAATCCGGAGTTTATAAGCTTAAGTGTCCGGAGTGTAATAGTGTTTATGTGGGACAATGCGGACGAAATCCTTTGGTACGGTACTGATAAAGAAACTCGACCCAAAATGAAGAAGTGACTCAAAAAAGCGTCCCAAGCTTGCTGCTTTTCAACAAAATTGAATGCGTACAATGTGCAATGAGAATGGAGAAGTAAAAAGCAAAAAGGTATTTTCCCAAAAATTAACCTGTCCTCAAAAAATATTATTTTTTCCATCAAAAAATATATTTTGGAATATTCACTTGCTACTTGGCTAATTAAAATTTTCTGTCAGAAAATGTAGTGAATCCAACATAAAACTACTTTTTAACTTTACTAGCTACTCCTGATTTTCTTACACAAACATTGACATGTTGTGACTTAGTGATATTGTGACCTTCAATATCTGTCTAATTGTGAATAGAGTGCTGTTCCAATGGTTGTCTTCATTTCTAGAATATTCATCACTTTGGAGTCTAAACATCTTCATATCTCTTCGAGAGGTAATTCAGTACCAGTGGCGGATCTAAAGGGGGGCAGAGGCGCGTGTCCACTCCTCAATGAGAATTGTAAATACACTTTCCTTGAATTCATTGCGTTCAAAAACATATCTTCTCAATACAATGACTGAAGAGAGACTAAATGGTTTGGATTTATTGCACGTACACCAGAATATTTCCAATACAATGAAGGCTGAAGAAGTCTTGGGCGTATACATAAGAAAGCACAAGAGGAAATTATCTCTGAAGGTGTTATAAAAATGTACATATCAAAAATATTATGTTTACGTTATAAAAATATTATAATGTTATGGAGGGATTATAATCCCTATACTCTCAGTTGTAAACAGAATGATTTTCTGGATCCGCCACTGTCCAGTAATAACATGAAGTGTAACGGAGTATGGAATTTCAGCTAAGTATTGTGCCATCTTGTTACAAATTTTCGTTCTCAGTACTTTCTTTGATGCTCACATCACACTGTTTGCACCAATCATTCATTTACATTCTGCCAACAGTGAACCCAATAGAAACGGTCTGGAATTTGAGTTCTTCCGATTACAAACTGAACCCCTGTTCAACTGCTGAGAAGACTCTGAAAAACATTCGCGTGATTTCAATAGGACCAACCACCATGGTTGCGCCATGCGGATCCTTCCATTACCGATCATGAAATTCAGTGAAATCGTCCAATATTCCCCGATTTCAGCAACGAATTTGTGAAGTTTCTGGTATTTGAATCCAAATTCAGAGTCTAAGGTCTGAAGTCTAAGGTCTGCATTTATCTTAATCAGGTGCTACAACTTCTTGTTGTTCAATTCTTTGGTAGTATCGGCAAAGCTATTCCTAACAAGAACGTCTGAAAAAGTATCTTTCTAACTATATGGATATTCGTCCTTCAGGTTTCCTGAACTGAATATCTTTTCTCAAGTAGAAATTTCTTTCTGTTTTATTTTTTTGTTGTATATACTTCTGATCAAAGTTAGAAAAATAATGTGTTATAAAACCCAAGATAGATTCAAGATTTTTCATATCCAGATAATAAAATAAAATCTCTTTTCATTAAAGCAACTTCCTCATGTAGATACCTATTTTTGTTGGAATTGCCAAGTGTAACAGGAGTAATTTATCATTATAGTGTTAAAGGATGTTTAAAGATAATATAGAATAATTGGAATATTCATTGCTGTATTTTTATTTTCTCATTAATCCAATAATCCTCATGATAAGAGATAAATGAAAAATGTTCAGATTTTAAAATTATACTTACTTATATGAAGTGTTTTTGTACAAAACTGATGATTACCTGTCTCAAGAACGACAAATATAACAATGACAACATTATTTTTAGTCAGTTAATTTTCAATCAATTCAATTAATTATGTTGGATTCAATCTTTTGAATTCCAACAAATGAATAAAAATATGGATGAATAACTATTTTTAAAATGACTGTCTGCCGGACTTCCAACACAATAACAATGAATAATGAACTTTTCTATCTTATATGCTTGTTTGTTCAGACGATTCTATTCATCCAGTTTAATTCTTGAATCAAAAAGATTTTATATACAAACAATGTGTAACCATAGTTGTCCACTGGAGGTTTATTATTTTTGATACTGGGCCATCTCTTAGAGAGTAGCAGAACTATCGGCTTTCGACTAATGAATACATTTCCACTCTTGAATGAGAAAAGTTACCACCTAGCGTGAAGTATCGATCTGCAAAAGTTTATTGAACCGCCAAAAGATGTCAGAAACACGGAAGTAGGTCAAATGTTACAAATTAAACAAAATGAATTCTTTTTGAGGAAAAAGAAGATTGATAGTATGTCACATAGGAAGCGAAATCGGTTTTGTCCTTGGCGCCCTCGAGTCGAAGAAAATGAGCGACTATCGTGAGGAAATGGATGGCATATCTTTTGAGAATTCTTTGAGAGACATAGTTCCGAAAGTAGAAGAGAATTATGTACTTATTTTAGACAATGCTCTATACCATTCCAGAAAAGCTGAAAAAATTACCACTACAGCCACAAAAAAAGCTGTAATTCGAAAGTGCATTCATTTGAAAAGTATACCATTTGAGGATAACACGGTAAAAGCAGAACTTTTTAGGACAGTGAATGAACATAATATGAAACATAATAAAAAATCGTTGACGAAATTGCTGAAGAGCATATAATAGAATAGTATTACTTCTTCCCCCTTACCACTGCGAGCTCAACCCAATTGAGCTTATTTGGTCAGACATGAAAAACTATGTCGTCAAAAAAATACCACTTTTAAAATTTGTGATCTTAAAAACATTTTTAGAGAAGCTGTTTCGTCTATTACCACTGCAAAATGGAATAATTGCGTAGGACATGTGAAAGATAAAGTAAAAATAAAAATGTTAAGATTAGACCATCTAATGGATGATTTAGTTGACAGAAATCCGTTGATAATCGTAATGATGATTCTTCAAGTAGCAGTTCTTCAACATCTGAGTAATCGGTCTAAAATGCCAAAGAGATTTATTATTTTTTCAATTTATACGCTAACACGTCATTTTGAAATCAAAAACTGTTTACCCGTTTGTCCTGCTGAAATAAAATTATCCCATTTTTTGTAGTTCATTCAATGTTAAATACATAAACTTCATTTTTGTTTTTTTCATTAGTTGAACTTTGAATAATTTTCCTACATCCAGCCGCATATTATTAACAAAAAATTGTTTGTTCCTTAGTGCGACTCTGAACAAGCAGCCTTGTCTGGGAAATCACACATTCACTGATAATGTTTTCGAGAACTCCGTTGCAATGCAATGCAAATAAATTTTGAAGAAATTAATAACAGCATAAAAGTAGTTACATATAAAAAAATTATAGATGGAGCACAGGAAGTAACATTACTGTGGAAAAATTTTGCCAGAAAAGGTGAAAAAGAAACTGCTTTTCCAAATTAATTTTTCTCAGCAATTGCCATTTTCTGACAAATTTTCCTAAATCAATGCTATTTTTCATTCATACCATCTAAAAATAGATAATCCAACAAAAAATACCACTGTGAATTTTGAAAGAACTGTTCAGCACATGTATATCTTAGGCTTAGGTTTATCGAAATAAAATGTTATACTGAATATTTTTATTCAAAAAAATTACAACCTATTTAGGACTCAAAAAAATAAGTTTTCGCCAAATATCACGGAAAATTAACGAGAAAAGATCGAAAAAGCTGGTTTCCCAATTTTTCCTGGTAAATTTTAGGACATGTGGGAGGAAATGGTCCTTACAAAAATGGTAGGTCTCTATATTCCCCTCAACTTTCCTTTCCAACTTTTTTCAATAGTCCTAGTTTCAACTGAAATCATGCAAAACCATTTTCCACACATGAAATTCGCTCCATTGCACACCCCCATGCCGTGGGTCGACTTAAATTCATTTTTTATAATATTATAAGTTTTTTTGCTGCATTATCAATGTATTCTTTTTTATATTACCAAAAGTGTCTGTAATAATGTACATGGAATTAGGCTCGCTTGTTTTTGAAAATCAGTGTGTACCTACATAATGAGTAAGTGCCAACATTCAGCGTTAGAAGCGAGGTTTTTGAGTAATGATTAAATAAAATTGTAAAACATTTTAGCGACTTGGTTTTGATAATTCGATTCTATTGGTGGCAATTGTTCTAATTTTCTTTGAATTTTATCTATTTTCATCATTTCAACTACTGCAGCACTTGTTCATCCTCTATCTATACACCCAAGATCATTTCAACTCAAGAAATCAAACAAAATACTTTATATTTCAAAAAAATAGTTCATTTTGTTTTATGAACAGCACTTATTGAACATTAAACAAATCACTCATTGAAAAAATTACTTCATTATCTAACAATTACTGATAAACATCATTCAATGAGAAATAAAAAATTAACTCTAATTCAAGACAACTCCATCTCTTCGACTTGGCTATCTTTTCTATCAGACGAGTACATCTTCCTCAGTTTCTCATAGTACTGGCGATCTTTCTCGCTGACTGAACCCCTTATCTTGCCGAACGCCCTTTTGAAATGTTCTGAAGTCACTACCACGTCTTGTGACAAATTAGCCCCGCACAGCAAGTCTTTCAATGCCATAACACCTGACTCTCGCACCAGGGCCGCCAAATCCGCCCCCGTAAAACCTATGATAAGAAATCACTCATTAAAGCTGTCCAGAGACTAGATAAGGGTTACAACTTACCTTCACACTCTCCAGACTCTGCGATAGCTTCCAAAGACACTTCTGGAGACAGTTTGGGGCAAGTACCATTCTTGGTGATGGCTCGTAGGATATCTGTGCGGTCAGAAGCGAGAGGCAGCCCGACATACAAAATCTTGTCCAACCGCCCTGGTCTCAGCACTGCGGGATCGATCATGTCTGGTCTGTTGGTTGCCGCCAGCAAGAACACCCCCTTGCGCCCTCCTACCCCGTCCATTTCCGTCAGCAGCTGGTTCACAACCCGGCTTGTTGAGCTGGAATCGTTGGCGCTCCTTTTGGGACAGAGAGCATCGAGCTCGTCAAAGAAAATGACGCAGGGCGAGGAGTTACGTGCCCTTTCGAAGCACACTCTTACAGCCCTCTCGCTCTCGCCCACATACATGTTGAGCAGTTCAGGGCCCTTGACGCTTATAAAGTTGATGCCAGCCTCGTTGGCAATAGCTTTGGCGAGCAGGGTCTTGCCGCAACCTGGGGGACCGAACAACAGGACTCCAGTGGGTATATTGATGCCGAGCTTCTCGAATTGTTCTGCGTGTCGGACTGGTGCCTGTTTGAAAATATAATGATCATTATTGATTTGGATGGAAGGTCATGAAGCTGGTAAGAATAATTATTATTTTGATTATTTATCATCACAATGAGATCCAGTTCGGAGGACCACACTTCTTGAATAATGTCAAACAATTTTCTGTTACGGTTTAATTTACTGTAATTACTAGTATACAAATCTAATGTTTATATATTGTGTCTATTTCAAATAAGTATTGTTAATAAAAATATGGAAAATATATAGAATAAGCAATTATTTGATAACTCTACAAGTAATACTAGGAAACTTGGAGTTTTTTACTTGGTTACAAGTATATTGTAACCAAGTTGTTACAATATACTTGTATTGTTGTTTCAAGTTGTTTAATAATTTTCCTATTATTAGTATTGTTCACTGATTTTTGCAAATGGATTTTGTTCTTGTTTGGACAGTAAATGATTTTTTCATATGTATGAATAATAATATGCAGAATGAATTTAACAATTCATAAAATGAATAAATAATTATCTATTAGTATACTTACCCAAAAATTCAAAATTTGTAAAAATATTGTAATTGAATTGTATCTAGTTGTTGAAATTTTGACCAACTCTTCTATTTTCTTTAGGATTTTTATACCAAAATTTGAAAAAAATCAAAATATGATTACCTACCTGTGAAAGATAGCTTAATTGGTATATGTTTTCAACTCACCACAATGGACAGCTGGAGTTCCTCCCTGATATTCGTTAGAGACCCAATATCATCCCACGTTGTGTCTGGAACAGTAGCAAAGCCTTCCCTCTTGGCTGAAGGCTGCACACATTTCAAGGCAGCTTCAAAGTCGGCCAGGGTGATGCACAATCCTGCCAACTCCTGCTGAGAGAGCGGCAACTGATCGTGAAGCCAAATCAGCACTTCTTCCAATGGACTCAACTTCTTTGGTAGCTCGTCGGTCATTTGTTTAGGTTCTACATCTGCGGATTTGGATGCTTTGGAGAAACAATCATCATCAATCACAACCACAGGACTGCCTACGGGTTCAGGGGGGGTAACTTTTACGGGGGCAACTTCGACTGTGCTTGCATCAGATGTGGATTCGGGAATGGCCTCAGATGTGGGCTCTACCAAAGTTACATCTTCAACGATAGGGACGTCATCTTCAACAATAGGAACATCGTCCTCAACTATTATCTCAGGAGAGTCTTTTTCCTTTTCTTTTTCAGCCACTGGTGTCTCTACAGTTGTCTTATGGTTTTCTTTGATCTCTCTGATTAGTCTATTCACCGCTGTCATAGCAGCTTCTCTGGCTAGTGACAGCAGGTCAGCCCCCACGTAGCCGGGTGTAAGGCTGGCGAGCCTGTCAAAGTCAAAATTTTCTGAGAGCTTGAGTTTCCTCGTTAAAACCTTGAGGATTTGGGAACGGCTTTCCTTATTGGGTATGCCAAGAGATATTTCTCTGTCAAAACGACCAGCTCTTCTTAGAGCTGGATCGATGGAGTCAGGGCGGTTTGTAGCTCCTATTACCAGGACCCTGGACCCATACTGTTCTTTGTTGAGATCTGTAAATAATTAATGTTGAGAAGTGTGAGGAGTTGAAACTTGGTTTCTTACCATCTAGACAACTCAATAACTGTGCCACTATCCTTTTTTCCATGTCTTTCTGAGCATTTTGTCTGTTTGGAGTGATGGCATCAATTTCATCGATGAATAAAACGCAAGGTGCTAGTAAAGATGATTGTTGGAACAATTCCCGAATACGTTCTTCGCTCTCCCCTGAAAGTATTGAAAATTATTTTTCTCATGTTAAATCAAATTAAGTTAAATTTATTTATTCACTCAAAGACCCTTTCGTGTATAGAAGTTGTCACCACACAAAATAAAAGTCATAGATAATAAACAATATACATAACATAATTAAAATACAAATTTTAAGTATCAAAATGTCTGGAGAGAAATCTTTTCGTGATGTTTCGGAATTTGGATTGTGTGAATTCCTAAAGCAGGTCATTTGTTATAGATTCTCATACCAATAGAAAAAGTGAAGGATTTGACTTAATTTGGAGGTTATTGTGGCTTGGATAGATGGAATGATTATATGTAGTTTGACATTCATATATATCTAGGTGTTTGGGCAGATTGCTTTTGATCTTAATTTAACAGGCAACTTTCATTATGTACAGCCAGGACAAAGATAGAATATTTAGCTTTACAAGAAAGTCTTGGTGAAATATTCTTAATAGCTCTGAGTGGTTTTTCTATACCAAAAATATATTCTGTGTAGAGAGAGAATTTTTCCACAACAGAATACCATACAAAAGTTCAGACTGGCTTTTGGCAAAATAGAAATTTCTCAGAATAGGCATCATTCCTCTTACATCGAGTTTGATACATTCTTTGGTTAATTCTTTCGATTGCACTGGCGATATGTTCATGCCAATTAAGATCATCCTCCAAAGTCATGTCCACGAACTTGGTTCAGTTCCAAGTAATATCTGTACAATCAAGTTTAATTGACAGAAAGTTGTTGATCGACCTCTGTCTTGTATGAAAAATAGTATATTTTGTTTTTTGAGATTAAGATACATCTGATTTCAAAAATCTTGTCTTTCCAATGAGAAAATTGACGTTAACTTTAACTTTTGGAACTCATTCTCAAAACCACTGTGTGAGTGAAGTTATTTCAATGTTTCTTTAAACAGGATAAACCCCATTACAATGTAAAAATTTCACAGAAAAGTAACAATCTAAAAGTGTAAAATATAAAATAGGACGCTATGGAATGTTTCAGCAGCACACAAATATATACAGCATAAGATACTTTAGAATATATATTTAGGATATGCGATATTTCAAGAGGACAAGCTTAAAATGTTCGGAGATATAATCATCCCTATATATAAAAATATCATAGGAAATGCAACATTGTTGTAGATATTATTGAATAGAATCTCCAAAGGTGAAGGCTGTAGGAGAAATAGAGTGATTATTATGAAATGAATTTATTTACCTGAAACTCCAGCCACTAGCTCTGGAGCTGCTACCTTCATCAGAGGTACATTCAATTCTCCTGCTATAGCATTTGCTAATAAAGTTTTACCACAACCAGGAGGACCATGCAACAAAAATCCCCTTGGAGGTGTAATGCCAATAGTATTATAAATCTCTGGATGGGTAATGTGGAGCAATAATTTGCACACTTCCTCCAAAGTTTTATCCATCCCTCCGATATCTTTGAACTTATTTCCCAGCTCCTGAGGACTAACGACCTGTTTCTTTTTTTTGGTTTGGGAATACTTAACAACTGTAGCATAGTCAAGTTTGCGCTTCTTGCCTCTATCGCCATCTCGATTTGGATCGACTGGTTGTTGTGTACCGTTTTTGTTAACCGGTGCAGGTTGTGTAAGAGTAGGTTGAGTAGGAGGTATTGGTTGCTGCTGTTTGAACTCCTTGCGAACCGCAGGAGGACCTTCGTCCTCATCACTGCTTATATCAATCAGTTCGTTCTCGTCCATCACTTTCGTGGGCAGCTTCCTGTACAGCGACACCATCTGGTTGTTCATGGAGTTATTGAGCTGGTCCTGCTTGTGGTCTCCAGGATCGATGCTGCTGTCGTCACTTTGTACACCATCAGAGTTTTCTTCGTCCAAACCATAGCTTTGTAAAACTATCGAATACGCCTTGTTGACTGCTGCTCGAAATACGCTCCGCTTACGTTTGGAATATTCTCTGTACTGTCGTTGCAGATCGTCTGCCATAACATTTATATCAACGTAGGTTTTATCTACATTCGATTCGAGATACTTCTGAACGCGTGGCACTATGGTAGGATCCGACATATACGGCATTTTGGATGCAATGCTGTTTTCTTGTGATAAATATATACTTCAGGTTGAATACTTACACATTCGTAAAATATATATTCTGAATAGATTCGATTAGGCGTATGTGAGCCTCTTAAATCATGACCGTCGGTTTTGTTGATTTATTCGCTTATTTTCTAATTTTACAATGAGAAAATTTATTCTAATGCGTACTGGCTGATTTGAGGTTACTTTACTCAACAAACAAACTGTACGTAGGTCGCAGCTTTTAGCGTACGTTAACATACAAACACTTCCTTTCGAGATGGCGTCGTTACAACGTCACAGTATTTATTTATAAGCTTTCTACTGTGACAACGTTTTATGTCAAATTTAACGACTAACAACAACGCCACAGTTCCGATATTCTATGACAACGCCCCTACGCGCGAACAGTGTTGCAGATTTTACTTTCTTCTTCTTATTTTTATATTTTATGGCATCTGTACACAAGGCTATCCGGTTTATTAGCGTTTTATTTACTCTAATAATAATCTATATTTGATATAATGATATATTCGCATTTTATCATATATTATTATTTATAATTGATGAAATGTATTTGAAAATCATTGACTACAATGAAAACTTCGAGTCATTAAACTCTTCTTACTGATAAGAAACCAATGTTATCAAACTGACAGTATATTTTTTCAGTATAACAATTGATCGAATTAGTCGATACTTGACGAAGAGTCATAAACATATTCAAGTAACACTTGGTTGTGAGATTTTCATTGAATATTTAACAAAACAGCCTCGTGTTTCACTATGCAATTTTCAGTGAAAATATCGCATGAAAGTGTTGTTTGAATACAAAACTTGTTTTTTTTTCAAATAGGTACTGCTTGCAACTGATAAGTTTCGATCACAATTTCATTCCAAGAGTGGTATTTATAGTGTTTTCATAAACTATAATAACTAATCAGAAAAACATCTAGAATGTATGTGGTTGATTATTAAAATAGATGAAATAATATCGATAAAAGATGAAATATGACACTTATCAATTTTTGAATTCACTTTTTATTACAAAACGGTAAAAACCATCAAAAACGCATGATAGCAATGCTAATTTATTATTCACTATGTGGCCTATCAGATTGCTGACCTACATGTTGTAAAGATCAGGAATGTAGGCACAATAATTCGATTATTATTTCACTTAGAGTACGGTCTTCAGTACTAATACAGCAGACACGGAAATAACACTATTATTACATTTTATGTAATACATAGAACAATAACCTTTGTAACTATATTGAACAAAAATAATCTTAACATCATAATTAGGCGTGAAATCAGCTCTAGACACCCCCCGGAGCTCAAAGATGACTACCGTGGCTCTAACAAAATGCTTTTTATAATTTATTAGCAAAAAACATGTTTTACTATTTTTTGGCTTCGACCATTTCCGATAGTTTTAGCCAATCTTTTCCAAGAAGAGCTGTTGAGGTTTAAATCTGGGTACTGCCATGTGTTTCAAGGAAGATACTCTTGGCTTCACGATTACCAAAGACATTGTAATATAATCATTGGAGTCTTTCATTTGAAAATATGAATTTACAGCATATCCCTTTTCACTACCATTGATGAAAATTTGCAGTTGGATTTCAACAATATAACTATAAATCCATACCATCAAGCAATTTTCGAATGTTTTATTTTATATACCTATTTACTGCAGATAGCCAATATTTCTAATTGCTCGTTTTCTAACTCTTCCAATGTATTTGTAGTTGAACTACGTGACCTTATAGATTTTGATTTCGATGACTGAACGGACTCATGTGTAGTATACTTTGACGGCCAAATTCCAGCAGTGGCTGAAAATTTTTAGCTTGAAAAGTATATATTTCTTTTCATGAATAGTGTAATTTTCATCAAGTAATGGATCAGTTTATTCATAATTATATATAAGTTATTGAGAATACATGGTAATATCCTAGACACGTGAAACTAATCCATTTTGACAGTGGCCCACTTATCTATGTATTTTTCATGAAGTAACATTGAGTTTGTTTTCAGGTGCCTTGTTCGACTACACAGGTTCTTATAAGCCAGCCTTTTTACTAGGTGGGGCAGCTATCTTCCTCAGTGGAGTTATATTGTTCGCCATTCCTTCTGTTCAAAGATATCAGGCCAGGAAACTCCAGAATAAGGAAGAAAGTGTGAACATTTAACCGTTAATAAGGCACTATGATGCTGCCAATCCAAACTGCACAATAGTGATGTTTATATTATTTTGGAGAGTTTTTTTCGAACCGATTTACATATCACTCTGCAATGGAACTGTGACAAGTGCTGTGCCATTATATATTCAGAGTAACGAATGTTTGAGACTTGATTTGTATGTATGTATGATAATACTGGATGGGCAACTTCCGTTATTTCTTAAACGCACATTTATTTTAGATATTTTTGAGCATATGTTGATATATACTGGGAACACCGAGATTGTAGATAGGGTACAGTGAATTACTTGATATAAACAAGTATAAGGTCGTTCAAATTGACAAAAATAGCATCTTTTCCTGACTGACTTTTTTTATAATCGATTTCAACTGCTTTGAAATAACTGTTTCAATTTTTAATATGTAATATTGAATACATTCTCTTTAGCGTCGTTAAGGTCCTCAAGAATATATTTATTAAATTTTTCAAGCATATTTTTCTCATGTACAATTACATGTAGGTGCCTCTAGATAAAATAGAACTGTGTATATAGGATATTTCTTCGAAATACATTGTTTATTCAAACCGGTTTTCTTAGCAAACGGATTTAGCATGTTTAATTCACATCATCCTGTATGGTAAGAAGAGTGATATGTATATATTGTGAAAATTGATTCTTACGTGGCCTCCTGTATATATTTATGTAATTTAACTTTTTTCATGACCAAAAATATTTAGACTGTAAGAAACTTCATTTAGTAATTCTATTTTATTGTTTATTATGACATATTTTTAGGAATGTTGTATTTTTATTTTCATGAGTTACCGAAAACAATCCTTTATCCTTTATTCCCTATCTAAGTCGTAAGAAAAATATAAAAAAAATTCACACTGTAATGGTAAAATAATATCATTTTATTTGAAAATTAGGAGGGAGATCAGGAATTTGTTCAACTGTTACATTAACCTATATTCTGAGATTTTATTTTTAGTTGTTTTTGGAACTACATGTAGTAAACACAAGTAGTTGCAGTCCCTTGTATTTTGTTTGGATTTTCTCAAGGGTCATCGATTTTATTAATTAAATATTATATTCGTTAGTATTGATTCATCTCTTTTGTCGAAACAAACTGTTGCTAATTTATTATATTTGTTCGAAACCATGAGATGATATTTCTATTTTCTTTCTGTTTTGCATGAAGTTGGCCATGTTGAAACCAGAAAATGGAGAAGGTGAGAAATATAAATGGATGACTACTGAATTAGCGACATCTAGATATGATAATTCGAAAGTAGTTACAAATATTCGTTGTTCCGTTAATTTATTTTAGTACTTTTTACAAAAATATATAAGTTAGCTCTGCGAAACCAACAAAGAAATTGAAAATTATACTCGAAATCTTTAACTTAAGTAACAAATTAAGACACAAAATACTGCGTATGAGTAGTATTAGAGAACAAACATCCAGAATAATACAGGTGAGAAGTTGAATAAAACAAGAGAAGTTTTTCATCTAATAAAATTTCTAGTTCTTCTATCACAGCCAATTATTAAATCCTAATAAACGATAGGCTGTAGAAACTAAATTGAACTTAACACAAGTACACACAGACATACTTTGTTAAAGATTTCAGAGGTTGTCACACTTTGAGGAGATTTCAAGGAATAATAACAATTTCAACGAATAGAGCAAACACCTGTTTATTCGTCGAATCTTCGTTAAACAATATATCAAATGATATGTTGAGATAATAGGCATAATTCGTACTCAATTTCAGTTCAAATTGCCATTTTGTCCTTATATATTTCTTTGCACCTTGAGATTCTAACTTGCGGCATCGGTCCCTCTCTCAGAGTAACAAAAGACAAGAGGCCTTTTCCATCCTTACATTGAAGGCAGCATAACTTTGTTTACGGGAAGTAAGTTGGACCATAAAACAGTGGCGGTCGGTTTAGTTGATAACTGGAGGGATATATATTCATAAAATAAATCATTTCAGGTGAAAATGTTGAATAACTTTTCTCGAGATCAATTGCCCCAACACCAAACTGATATTTTGTACTCGACGCGCGTTTCGCCAACAAAGTTTTTAGGGAAATTGCCCTAACTTTGTTAGGGCAAGTTATTCAAAAGTTATTCTGTTCGGATAGTTCCTACAGGAAATCTGATTTATTATTAATGATTATGGAAATGGGGCCAGTTCTTCTACCACCTACCAGATTTTTATTTATGTATGGCTTTATAATAAATAATAATCTAGTAGGTGGTAGAAAAACTGGCTTCATTCTCGTAATCATTAATGAACAGAATACGTTTTCACCTGAAATGATTTATTTTATAAATATATAATATCCCTCCGATTATCAACTAAACCAGCCACCACTGTCTTATGGTCCAACTTACTTGAAATGTAAACAAATTCTCCATAACCTCTCATTACCCGCCACCCCTCCTCGCCAAGTTGTACAGAAAGTTGTCAAAATATTGTCCGAGAATACCTACCACAGAGAAGTGACAAAGACGGCCATTTCGTGTCCCTTTTTCGTAGACGCATGCGTCAACTTGGTTGTCTCCACGTGAATCTCCTGCTTAGTTGTCTCCATGTCATTCTCGGGCTTGGTTGTCTCCATTAGTCTGTGAGCACTGAGCAAACATAATGAGATAGTTAGTTACAAAAGGTACCTACCTAACGCGGTATACATTAAAATTATGCTATTTGAGCAAGAGTTTTCAGGAGATAATTAGTTTTGAAGAATCCATCGTGAGAGAAACAGTAGAAAATTCACCAATATTTAAGGCACTTGAAATTAAAATTAAAACAATGTTCGAACAGGACAAGCGATGTGTGATATCTATAGATGAGATGGCTTTAAAATCCAATCTTTTTTTTGATACAGGATGTGAGGAAATTATTGGTTTCGAAGATATTGGAGAGGCAAATAAGAGGAATTCCATATGTAGAAATGTTCTCGTTATTAAGTCTAGAGGACTTTATTCTCCCTGGAAACAACCGATTGCTTTTTTTCATTGAATCACAGCTACCAGCAAAAAATCTACGTGATATTTTGGATAAGTGCATTTCTAAATTATCCAATATAGGTCTGCATGTTGATGGCATTGTGAGTGATATGGGCTCTAACTTTTATGAATTGTCAAAGTTATTAGGGGTCACTTTAGAGGAATCTGAATTTGAGGTCGGTGGTAAAAAAACTTGTTTATATTTTTGATCCAAGTCATTTGATAAAAGCCACTAAAAACAATTTTTTAAAACATTCATTTCATTTTGAAGGTCTTTTGTGCGCTCTTTTTATGAGCGAGACATAGGGCAATTTTATAGATTCGCACCAAATCTTACCAAATCACATATTAATCCAAACAATTTAGAAAAAATGAAAGTGAGTATAGCAACACAATTTCAAAGCTGTACAGTAGCCAGTGGAATGAATACATTCGTGGCAATGAACTTACTTCCTGCTTCTTCTTTTGGTACAATACACGTCATAGAGACATTCAATAACCTTTTTGATTTGTTGAATTCGTGTTCTTTACGACATTCCTATAAATACAAAAACGTTTTAAAAGGTTCGAAATTCCAATTAGATTTTTTTGAAGAGGCTCTAACGTTTTTGAAAAATTTTGAAATTTTCAATTCAGAGGACGAAAATGTCACAAATCGAGTCAGATTTAGGAAATGTTGGATTATTTCCATGAATAGTATAATTAAAATATGGGATGAGCTTTCCAAATCAAATTATAAATATTTAAAAACGAGACGACTCAATTCAGATTCAGATTTTTTTGGTGCTGTAAGACAACAATGCGGAAATAATATTAATACGACCCCCATACAATTTCAAAGGGCATTCCGGAAGTTGTTTTGCCAAAAGTATTTTCATTCCAATCATATGAATTGTACGAATGATTTAGATGATTTATTAATCAGTATACAATCCACAAACGTAAATGATATATTTATCAGATGAGAATCACTTTTCTCCAGCCCTTGCCCTTCCGGATTATGATTATAAAAATGAAGATGTATGTACTCAGAATTCATTCATTTACGTTTGTGGATACATTTTAAAAAAAGCTCTTCAAGTTCAAACATGTTATGTGTGTCACTCTTTCATCACGAAGTGCAGGACTTTGGATGTAAATTATCTGTTAAGCTATTTTGAAGCTTATACTACGAAAAAAAACATGTTTGGAAATTTGTGCTCACCACCAGATGAATTCATTAATTTTATATATCAATTGGAATGTTTATTTAACAATCGATTTTCAGAAATGTCTACTGGGGGAGCAGTTTCGAATATATTATTCAACCTAATGAAGGATGTAGATTTTCTTCATCCTTGTGAAAATTTTCCAAAAATGTACATAATTAGGCTATTCATAAGAATGAATTTTTTTATAGTATCAAATATATTCATAGAGATATCAATAATGCCAAAGGTAAAACTGTAAAAAGGAAACTTAAGATTCTGTCACATTTTTAAATTAAGAGGTTTTGGTAAAATATCTTGTTTCATTATTTTTTCATTCGGAACCTTACTTAATTAGAACCCTCAGACTGTATTGATGTTGTTAATGAAAGTTTAAGTTGAGATTACCTAAAATAACAAAAGTTACTTCTATTCATCCTTAGTGGACTTATTTATTTCAGAGGATATAAAATGATTATATAATTTAAGCATTATTCTATTATCGTAACTTTATTTTAATTTTCTATTCAATGAATTGGATTTACAAAATAAAGTAATTTAATTTATTTCTTAAAAGCCAATTCATCATAAATAATAATAAATTGACAACATAGTTGAATATTCTCTATTATTACTGCGAAAGTTGTTCAATTAGCAATATAAAAATTGAATGGAGTAAGTTTCCTTTCACACTATAATTTTATATTTCACAGTGAGCCCACGTACTATACTATAACGTACGAGTATGTATTTTTATTAGTGTATATGGCTGAGAGGTCATTTTTCTCAGTAAACCAGGTTGTTAATCACTCAAAATCTTCGGTTCGGAGTTGGGACACCGAACATCAAAGGATCCGACGTTAATGTCGCTTCTCTGTGGTAGGTACTCTCGGACATTGTATTGGTATAGGCACCGTACAGGCATGGCAACTCTATGTCTTATTATAACTCTGAGGTCCCTCTCGATTAGAATATTCTAATTCCCATGAAATATTGGAAGAAGAAGAAAAATGTCAAATGGTACATAAATGTTATGCTGTGTAAATGTCACATGTCATAACAAATCTGTTTTTTGTTAAAAGATGTACTATGTAATAAAATGAATGTCGAGGTGTTGAGGACTACCTGCGAATGTTTTTAAAACTAAACAAAAATGACCTACAGTTGGACGTAATTTGGTTTATTTGAAGATAATGTTGAAAAACTCCAGATTAAGTTATATTTTAGTAATTGTGTTATTGTTCGGGTCCGTAGCTGTTTTATATCAAGTTCAATTAGCTAGACTTCAAGAGAAATTAGCTGAATTAGGTTAGGGATTTCAATTAATTATTAATCCCTTTGATTTGACCATAGTTCACAATTTCCTAAACTTTCAGAAAAACGTCAAGAACCGTATGAATCAAACTATTTATATTCTCGAGAGAATCTCGTAGACGAAGACGAGTTAGTAATTTTATACAATCGTGTACCAAAGACTGGATCCACTAGTTTTATAGGAGTAGCATACGATTTCTGTAAGAAAAACCGCTTCCATGTTCTGCACGTAAATATTACGGCAAACAGTCATACGCTAACTCTAGATAATCAACTAAAGTTTGTGCAGAATGTTACGAAATGGAATAGTATGAAACCAGCCTTGTACCATGGGCACTTTGCATTTCTGGATTTCTCAAAGTAAGATATTTGAGCATGAATTTTTCTTAGAATTATTTGTATTTTACAGAGATAGCTCTAAATTATATAGTGCGGACCTGAAAATAGTTCCTTCCTTTACTTATGAACACGCCAAGGTTTAAAAAATTGAACAATTTTTTTCTCAAGGATAAAACAAGCAATAGGTACCCGAAAATCCTTGAGGCGCTCTAAGAGCGGTGCCTGTGCAAAAGTATTGATTCACATTGGATTAGAATCGATGGAGATTAAATTCATTTGGAAAAATGTTCTCAGGAAGTTTATTCCAAACGAACGCAAGTTTCCAAATGGAAGAGTTCTCAAACAGTGAAATTTGAGATATACTGAGTTGAACCTCAAAAGATGAGCAGCCACAGTCCGTCGTATATTTATGATATGTACCGCTCTTGGTGGAATTGAATGTGCCAAGTCACTTGAACACTTCCCGTGAAATTATCTATAGAAGAGAGACAAATCTCCAATCTTTCTTTGATGTTCCAGACTATCAAGGTTGCATGTGGTGTTCGCGTCTCCAATCAGGCAGATGGCTCTTTTTCTGGATGAAATCCAGCAGCTTCAGGATTTGTTTAGGGGCGGAGCTCCATACATGAGAACAATACTCTAAAGAAGGTCTAATTTGAGCTTTATAAAGCATCAAAAGTTGCTAAGGTGTGTACAGTTTTCTGGTTCGGAATAGTGTTTCAAGCTTTTGAGAAGTAGCCTTTGCAATTTCAGCGACGTGATTGTGCCAAGACATATTGGTGTCCATTTTAACCCCTAACAAACTCATTGAAGCAGAAAGTGAAATTGTCTGACCTTACATTATTATATCCGGTTCGGAGAAATTTATCTTTTTTGAGAAAACTGATGCCTGGGTTTTTGTTGCATTGAATTGAACCTGGTTTCTTTCACCCCAATTCGAAATTACTTCTAGATCCTTATTAAGATATGCAACCTCCTGCTGTCGGTGAAGATGTGTATCCATGGTGTTTAATATCACTGATAGCAAAGTGACTGGTCTCTATTTATTTGGAAGACTTTTCTTGCCTTTTTGGGGATTGGTTCAACGCAAGCAATCTTTCAAGAAGGAAAAACCCCTTTCTAGTGAGACAGGTTGAAAAGTTTGCAAAATACTAGTGCGAGTGCATTTGCACACTTTTTGAGTACAATGACGAGCAATTCATCAGGGCCAGACGCCTTGCTGATATTGAGCTGTTTCTGAATTCACCTGACTATACGCTGGTAAATACACAGGATCACTTGGTCCAATTTCTACTAGTAAATAAGTAATGTATAGAGAACTGAAAGACAAATCAAACAAGCTGTCACAAATCCCTTTTTTCTATTTGAAAAAACTTATCTCAGAGGTGAATGACATCACACTTCAAAATAAAAAGTCCTAAAAGCCGTTTCATATAATTCATGTACAACCATTATATCTAGTCCTGTTCAAAAGTTCAGAGGGAAGACTATTCACGTCCATACTGTATAAATAATTCCAACTTGAAAATTTTACTTTTCTTCAGGTTTGGTGCTCCAAAACCTCTATTTATAAACTTGATACGTAAGCCGTTGGAACGTTTTGTGTCCTATTACTATTTTGTGAGATACGGCGATAATTTTAGGCCATATTTGGTTAGAAAGAAACATGGAAATACTGTTGTATGTAACCACTTTTTTTTGAAGTTGTACTATTATAAAACTAACCCTCTGAATTCACAGACCTTCGATGAATGTGTAGCCCAGGACCTGCCTGATTGTGATCCCAATAATATGTGGCTCCAAATACCTTTTTTCTGTGGACACTCTGCAAATTGTTGGTAAGAACAGTTCTCCTCATTGAATTCAATAGACAATATAATAGGTTCATTTTTATATCGGCATTGACGAAAAAAATTGTGATAAATTTCCATTCTTCGATTTCGTTCAAAAAATGATCCCAGGGGTATCTAATTCGATGTTATAACAATTGAAATTTACTGGGAAAATATATCTGCGATACATTTTGTGAAGGGACTCTCTGCGGAAATAACTCACTGAATACTGTCCTATCGAGAGGACATCAGAAAAAATTAGGGCTGTATAATGGAAATTTCAGCTACAGATAATGCAGCAGAGGAACAGAGACAGCTAGTCATGATTTATATGAACATTTCAACAATAATTGGTATGAAACTTTGATGCATAATATTCTTTGAAAAATAAAATGGGAGAGATAACTTTTCTCCTTCATAAAAATTATTTTAATATTCAAAGTATTTTCCGTGATTCCTGTTTAAATTATTGGAACCTATATATTGCATGAGTATAAAAACAACTACCTCCCTCTGACTTATTCAGAAAGATAATCAATTCTTCAGAGTATTACTGGAAGGGATTTTTTACGTTATTCTTTAATAGAAAAGGTGGTGCATCACTTCTCCTATTCATATTTGTTTAGAAAAAATTCAATAACTTCTTCAAAGTATTCCTAGAAGATCCTGAATGGAGATTTTTATATAATTTTATATCATGAAAAGTGCTGAAAAAGACAAAATATAAGAACCCTCTGCCCCATTTGCATAAGAAAAATTGTTTTTCAACAAGGTCTAATTCATTGTTTCACCTTTGATGGAAATACATTTTAGAAAAACAAGAGTAGAATGATATTTGAATGAGAAATATATTTGTAGCAGTAACTTTATTGTTCCCCGACATTTCTATTGATGAAATCTATCAGAGTATGTGCTTGCTAAGAAGAAAACTCTTTACCATCATTTTCACATGAAACAAAGTGTAAGGTACTTTGGTTCACTGTAATTGAGTTATGAAGCATGGTGAACGTCAGCTGGACCATCATGCATGGGTAGGGCACTTTCTGTCCTTGCTAAAAACTTGACAGATGTTCATGTAATGTATCAAAGAACATTCGTCAGCTGGTTGAAAAAGTCGTGAATTATGTCAGTGAGAGATGTAGCCCTCAACCACCCATGTTGCCGCAGCTGATGCAGTACTCTTCATAACACATCTATATGAAACAATCCTGAAATTATCGGCAGGGAATACATTACTCTGTAATTGGTTTCCGTAGTAATAAAAAAAGTTTGGGATCAATAAAACATTAGTCTTTTGGACCAACATGTTTTTCATTTGTAATATTTATTTCTCTGACAGGAAACCTGGCAATAGATGGGCCCTGAATGAAGCCAAGAAGAATCTCGCAAATAGCTATTTCCTGGTTGGTGTCACAGAGGAACTAGACGATTTTGTTCAAGTTCTCGAACAGTCCCTACCGAGAATCTTCAAGGGAGCAACCGAATATTATCAGAGCAGCAACAAATCCCATCTGCGTCGAACTGTGCAGAAGGATTTACCATCTTTAATAATATAATTTTTTTTTGTTCTTGAAATATCTAGTAGATGGCGCCATTTACAAATTCCAGATTTCAACTAATTTTGGGATTATATCACATATTACACTTTAGATGGGAATATAGGTGGGCGGGCCTCCTACCTTCCACAAACTCATCGACCATAAACAAGTTTGATACACTAAAATGATTGATAGAAGTTGAAGAAAAATTTACCTCAGTGACATACTTGACTATATAATGGTTCACTATGAGAAAGGTTTTTCAACTGATGAAAAAAAAGAAGCTGTTATTCACATTTATGAACTCACATTATGAACACATAATAGTAGTTTGAAAGTAACGCCATCTATTGGTATTAAAAGTCATAGTCAATAGTTATTTTTTATATCTGTTACTGTTATTATTGCTACATGATAATTTAGACATTTAGTATATATATTTCCAAATACTAAGCACATACTTCTCTAATAAAAGTGTGTGATCACTTGATTAACTGCCTCAATAGTTATATTATTCTTTTAATCTAGTATAGTTGCGGTTTAAAAGTAGCGCCATCTATCCTCAAAACAAAATCTTTGATAGCTGTTGAATCATCCTCAAGATTCAAGTCTTAATAACAAAACCTACCTACAAAAAAAAGTTTATGAATTCATTAGTTGAAGAAGTGTCTTCAGTGTCCACTCCTAACCCTACAAAGTTTCATTTCTCTCATAAAAAGATTGCCTATCAGCCTCAAATACAAACAACTGACTTCAGCGAATACATTGCTGAAAATGTGATGGAATTTTTATTAATTTTAGTGGTTTGGTATGCTTAACGCTGCTGAAACAGCCAATTACTTCCACGTTTCATTTTATGCTCGCATGCTGCAAGTAGCTTTATTTTCTGTAAGTCTGATTCTGAAATTAATGTAGCTTAATGACTGCTTTCACAAAAAAAATGGAAAGCTTAAATGGACTTTATTAATCGACTGGTTGATATGTTACACTTCATGGACGGCATTCTGCTTTTTGTTTTAGATGATGCCATTTCCTTTTTGATTGGAAAGGTTGATTGAAACCAAGGAAAAACATATGTATAAATAAATTCTGTGTATTTACAGCTGTATGTTATACATAGTTAATATAATATAATATTTATGTACAATACATAATTTCATTAGTTTATTTTGTTAACTTCTTTCCAGCAAGAAACATTAATAGTTCAAATGACACACTTCAAATACTCTTCAGAGGCCAAGCAAGCTGCTCCGAAAACAGTTTTTTCCAAATTTCTATTGTCAAAATCACAAATTCAATAAAATCCAAAGCAGCCGCCTTGACCGTCGAAGTAACTGGTGATTTCAAACAAAAACAATAAACCGTGTACCTATTCCATCTAATTTGTGTACAAATCTAATTTCACGCAGGTAGAAAAATTTGAACCGACTATCTTTTTCGATTGAAATTGATTCTTATGCGCTCAATAGAATATCAAAATTGTTTCAGAATTGATATGTTAGTGAGGCGACGTGAGACGCTCAATCTGGCATTAGTTCCCAAAAAAAGGGGTCGCCTTGAAAATACTCATATAAAAACCATATGACCAGCATTTTTACAACATAAAGGCCTTTATCTTTACATACAAGTGGTACTATATCATAGCAGTGTTGAACGTTTGTATAGGAAAGTCCTCCTGAATGATGTCCAGAAATGAAATACTTGCTAAGGGCAGAAAGAAAAATTTAAAGGAGCAGCTGATGGTTCACCATACTGAAAAACCAAGTTGATCCAAATTATTCTAAAGGAACAAGGTACCTAAAGCTCTGCTTTAAGGCTGCTTCTCTTAGCCATATAAAGCATGTGCTAAAATCTAGTAGTTTGGGTCAGCTAAACAAGTTTTCATTTCATAATAGTGTACTTTGAATACTGGTCAGACATGATCCTAAACTTCAGTGGGAAAATTTGGTATTTGGCAGCGAATAATTCAGTCGACCTTAGCAATTAATAACGAACTTCAGGTGTTTTCTATTCTCTCTTGATTTCAACTTGTCAATTAGGTGTCTTAATATCAAAAGTAAAACTTTATTGGATTCTTGTTCGAAACCCAATTGTGCCTCAACAAGCTGAAAAAGAACAAAAGCCTATACATACAACGAAGAGCTTTAAGATGAGTCGGTTTAGGACGTAACCGATTTGCAGGACAATAAAATAAGCTTACTAAAAACAAGTACACACCCTCAACCCTAAGTGCTTCCTAATTACCCTGTTAACAATGTGATAATAACCTAGTGATGAGGTGAATCTCAGACTTTCGGGCTCTTTATTCCTGCGAAAACTTTCCAGAACAAACGTTTCAGTACAGTTAATGACAGGTGAAAAGTAACTGCCAGACTCATTGTTCTACAACTTACGACAAAGGATGAGTAGTTTGTTGGTACGTAAAAACTTCGTAGAATAAAGGGTCCTTTCAAGAAAGCCGTTACCAGCTGTATATTCTCCTAAGAATAGTGATTGTTACAATGTAAAATAATACATTTCGCGTTTCCAAGTATAACTCGATTATAAAAAATAAAAAAGATTACAGCTCGAATTAGCGGTAATCTGAGGAATGGAGAAAAACATTGAAAAGTTGATCCATAAGCAAGCGATTAGAGTATCGAACACCATCTTAGACATTCACAAAGTTTTTGTTCCACAATTTGAAAAACAAACAAGTGGTGACAAGCTCTCAAAAGCAACATTACAACTTCAAAGACCCTTCTTTGATCGTCTTTGTGAATCATTCCAACTCTTCACAGTTTTTCCACCACTCTGGATAAAATCGACAGCGTTAAATAATAGTGATAACAAGGACCAACTCAAAGAGAACAACTTTTGCTACGTCTTCGGAGGCGAGTGATTGTTTTGAAGGATCGGCGAGTGATTGGTCGGCCCGTTGATGTGGGGCACACTATTATTGTAGGAGGGGTGGTTCGAATTGCACAGCACTGTATATACATTGTCCATGTTGGCGAGTTTCTCGAAGAATGGGATGAGGTCGAGCAACTCCGAATCATTGGCGTCGTCAAACCACGATGCTACTGGTACCTATAAATGAATAATTTGTAATTACCCTAAAAAAGTAAAAGTTTGAGTTTTAACTATCTATACAATGAGCGGCTAAATTATAAATTGACTTCATTATATATTGTCAATAAGATGAAGAGGACTACTACAAGGATTTAGAAAATAGTGAAAGATAGTGTAACAGTTAAACACAGAAAAGAAAAGCAATTGGAAGTATGAACATAATAAAAATTGGGAACCTTTGAATACTCAGAAAATATTTGAGAAATTGCAAATTTGTTGTCATTTTTATTTGAGTTTTTTTTTTGGTGAAAAGTTGATGGTTTTGGTGTGACATTTTGTTCTCTATACAAGATTTTCAAGTTAAAATATTTGAATAGAGGTACAAAGTGAGTGAATGTCTTTAACCTTCCGATGGAACTCGTGAGGGTTTATTGTTGAGGGTTTATTTATTTGTGATAAAATTCTCCTCATTTTTAAATTTTACATTTTCTATAACTACCCCTACTACCTACTACTTTTGTTCTATCTCAATAGGTTCTCTAATATTTATCCGATATTTTTGGAAACTATATCACCTATTCCATCCCTGACACCAATTAGTACGTATCTATTCATTTACCAAGAAACATAATAATTCTGGGTTCTTTGGAGTCTAATATTGGGTTTATAAAATTTTGTTTTTACAACAAAATGAAAACCAATAAGGTAACCAAATACACACATAAATGACATTTCAAGATCTGTATGTCGATGAACCTACATGAAGGGAGTATTGTGGAAAGAAATTATGTCACTTTTAATAGTATACATTTTGTCAATTTTGACAATTATATACAAATATATAGTAGAAAAAACATTTCATAGATCTATTTAGAATTTTGTCAATAAGCCTTCAAATTAGGTTATAAATATGAAATGTAAAATATGACGAAAATCCGACGGCACTGGGTTCTTTAAAAAAACTTTCCACAAAAGTATACTCACAGCATTATCTGGATGGAATATATAGGAAGCCGGAGAATTGTCGACGATAACGATCTGTCCGAGCTCTCTGCCAAGCTTGTTCAAATCCTTGACGTAGTTACCCCTGTAAAAAACGCAGCTCTCTCTAAACAGCCTCTTCCTGAACACGTCCCACTTGTCGAGCAGATCTGCCACAGGATCAGCGTACTTTGCTAGCGAGGCTGTGAACAGTATGCATTCGTACAGCTCGCCCATACGTTTCAGGAATTCGTCTACATGTGGTCGTTTCAGAACGTATACTTGATGTGTCGTACCGTCTATTTCGACTGGTACGATGAAGTCTGCTGGAGGTCTTTTGCTGTTGCTCGGCCTCAGGCTGGTTGAACGGTTCGACTGGAATGTCGATAGGTTCAAGATTTCCTGGAAATGAAAACATGGATGATTATACTATTATTGAACTGCTTCATTTTCATGTGCTGTTATAATGGTTAATTGTACTACAAAGATATTAGTTTTTAGGACACAAAAAAGTACGCGGCATCATGTATCTAATTCTTACAAATGGCATAAATGACCACCTAACCCAACAGAAGGTACTCATTTCAGGCACTCGGTTTGTCAATAATGGCGTACCTCAGGGTTCGACACTCGCTTCCACTCTTTTTACATCTGACTTGCAGCAGTTAATGGAAGACTGTAATCTGCTACGTTAGCCGACGACTACTCCCTCTGCCTAAACATTCCGCATTCTCAAAAATTTGATACGCTGACAAAAATAAACAACGATTTAACAACCATAAAGAGGTGGACCAAAGAAAAAAACTTCCTATTCCTAAACCCCGCAAAAAGACAAAATATTCTTATTGCCTTGATGATTTCCTTGTATGTACTGACAACGAATTCGTTACTTCTGTCTCTGAAGCTCAAATTCTCCAAACAATTAGGCGTCGTCGCAAAAAGAACCTTCCTAAGCCTTAAAAAACGATTCTCCTTCAAACGGATGCATTAGGGTCTCAGGCGCCTCGCGGCCTAATGCACTTGCTATCAGCATGTCCAGCATATGCGGTCTCAGCCTATATCCATTGATATAACGCGGCCCTAAGAGTGCTATATTACCATCTACGGCACTATTACGGTATTGTCGAGACACCGGTGTTACCCTACGCTCCGGGGAATGTTGAATCCGTTGTGGGGAACGAGAATTGCCGAATTTATTGGAACTATTCGTTATTCGTTCTCACCCTCATGCTCATACAAGCTAATAAGCCTGATGTAGTCCTTCTCGACCACCAGAGCAAGACGATATTTGTCGTGGAGTTTTCAGCTCCTGGCGAGACGAATATCGTCCGAAAAGAGGAAGAAAAACGGATAAAATATAGAGATTTTCTCTTCGAACTCCGCAGACTCTATCCAGACCACTCTGTCAAGATGATTGTTCTGATTATTGGACTCCTTGGTGAATGATGCCCTCTCTACTCCCGAATCTTAAAATCATACCTGCTTGCTGCACTAAGCCAGAAATCTTATCCCCACAGATGCAGAAGGCTGTCATTCTTGGCTCACTGTGCTTGCTCAGGGCACATGATTCTCGGTCCCAATGATCAGTTACCCCACGGTGTGGGGAGTGGCCACTGGTTGATAATGCTGGCGCGCCCTCCCGAATGTATTGGGGCTTCGGGGGATAGGGTCTGACCAGCGCAAACTGCGGTGGAAAAAAAATATCAGTAGCAGGGAAAAACAATAATTCAAAAAACCAACTATAACTACATATATCTGGTAGGCTGTACATAGAGTTAAAACGAAAGATGGTCTAGAATAGATCTACTTCAGAAGTGAGTAATTTAATGACCTTTTATAACATATAACTAACTAGCTTGGTTCTCCTACTTACTTAAAATCTCCCACTAATCATCAATGTCATCATTGAAGAGAAATATAAAAAGGAGAATCATTCAATTCCATGTGGTCATTGAGCAAATGTAACGAATTCTTGAAATCATATTGATTTCTATGAATTCAAAAAAAAAAATTTTTTAACTCATACCTCTCTGGCAAAAGATGGTATGCGAATGTTGAATGGGTCTACTCACTGAAAAAAATACTTCTGTCGTCTTTAATTGTTTTGCAGACAGTTCTCCCCATTTGACCGATGTAAATTGAACCTATCTGAAACTGAAGTTTGGTTTTTAATGTTGTCATTGAATTTACTCAAATTACATTTTGTTTCGTAAACTACATCCAAGTCTCCTCGTTGGAAAAAACTAGCGATTTTATTGGCTAATGTAGGTTTATGTCTTAAATCACTCACCCTTGATTGTTGAACTTTTTCAGATAGAATGAAATCAATAATTTTTATTCTACAATTGTTGACAGTAATTTGTTTACTGAAACTCAATTCTCTTTGAAAGCGAGATATTCACTAATATGTGAATATCTTCACTTGCTGAACTTCAAGTTGATATGCATGTGTCGCGGAATTATGTAGGATAATGTATAAGATGGTTCATAGAAAATTGAAAAATTTTAGTTTAAGTCTTTCGTCGTAGTTTGCCAATTATTCTTGAATGTTTTTTTAAATTTATTTGCAAATTGCTCTGTATCCACTTCTTTTGCATATTCCATCCTTATTTCTTCCTAACATTAACTTTATTTAACTTTCTTTATTTTAAAACACTTAAAATATAAACTTACAACAGTTATCACCAGATCATTATTAGACATAACCATACTCAATGGTATTTAGTTACAACAAAATCATGATTTTGCCAATCCTGAAAGAAAATGAATATTTCTAATATAAATTTGAAAAATTCGATTCCCTCGAAAATTCACTTCTCCCAAAGTTTAGCCAGGGAAGCAGTTGTTTTCTGGCAGACATTTGTAATGCTACTTTCGTGGGATATTTTATCAGTATTTTTTGTTGAAAATTTATATCTCAGATATATTCAAACAGAATGAAAAACTTTAAAGATCTCACAAAGTCTGTAATCAAAACTAANAAAGTCGAGGCCGCGGATGACGAGAAATGAAATAAATCCCGTGTCAAGTGTTTACCTCACCTCTGTTTACACCTTTTTTACACGCCTACTATTACATTTTAAATAGCGTTTGTATTCTTTTCGCATAGATTCGTTTGGATATTTTCAGACCCTGAATAGATTTCGAGGAAATAATATTGATCAGCATTCGTCATTCGTTATTTACCTTTTTCGGTAGCATAACTGTTCAGATGTTCGTCGTCCCTTGACACCTGAGTAATGATGGAGGATGCTTCCATTTAAACATTTGTTTATCTCCTCATGTTTCACGACACATTACTGAATCACTATATTTTACGCGTAACTAGGAAGTGATTGTTCAAAAAGTCAATAGTCCACCAGCCACCAATTTTCTTACAGTACCTCCAAAAACTAGTAGAACATGGAACTTTAACAACAATCAACATCAACATATCACTGAATGAAAACTATGATTACCGACACTTGTCAAACACAAAGCGGTAAATTCAAACGGGTAAAAGCAGGTATTTCGCATTATTATTGAAATATATTTAATCATCTTCTGGCATTTTAATGGAATAGGAGAATCATTTCAATTTTTCCTGGATTAATAAATTTTGTTAACCAAATATTTCAAACTGAACTAATTCAAAATTTGTATCGCTATCTCTTTTTCTGGAATCATCTCATAAATCCTACGTCATCAAATGTCGAGAATATTTTGGCATTGCTTCACACAATGAAAACTTCCAACTGCGCTGTGAGTGAGCTATTCATTATATTATATACAATCCACAAAGCACCTATATAACTATTAAGTTATATATAAGCCTTAAATCTGATTTAATTTTTAAAATTTATCATTCACCCCCACTCTCAATACATTTTCAAAAACTATACACTCGGCGAAAGGATAACCAAGTTCTGGAATGTTTTGCGGCCACCTTGCGGAATAACATAATGACGTCAGCAACGGCGCGCTTGTATGAAGTTACATGAATTATCAACTATTTTATAAAACATCCATTTTTTTGTCTATTTTCGAAGAAAACTGCTTTTCAAATAAATCTATTCTATTGAAATAAATATAGATTGTAATAGTGAGAGAAACACAAATCAACACAGATCCAGATAAAATTCTTGAAATAATTCATAGTATAGTCAAGAAATAACTCAGTAAGTTGATTTAAATGGATTACATATCAGAGTCAATTAATATTTGTCTCATATATTATAGTGACACTTTATTTTGTTAGATTTTCACAGACCCACCACGTGTTGGGTTTTGTAAACTGTTGGATGGAAATTTCACAATAAAGTGCATCTAGGATACGTTATAGGTTTTCATCAAGTATATATCAGCCAATACTATCACATATATAATATTAGGTTTGTTATGTGGAGATAAGATCACAATGGCATAATATCCAAAACATAGAATTTAATAACAACGGTTGAAAATAATTCACACGTTCTTATTTAATGAGCAAATGAGCAATAAAAACTGGATAAAAACTAACAAATGTAAACAGAATTTCATTTAAAATGGACTAACCAACGCTAGTGACGTCACAAAAAAAACTAATTCATGAATATAGGATAAGAGGCACTCTTTAGTTATTACGTCATTCGTCAACAAAGATGCAAAGAACGAAAGATAATTCAAATCACCTGTTAAAATTGTTTAAAAATCGTAAAAACAATTTCTCAGAAATAATGTTTCCATGCATCTTTTATATAGTTAATTTTCATATGAAATATTTATTTTAAGTGATACATTTCTTATGTATCTTATTTTAAGTAGAAAAGATCTTTTTACTGAAGATTTGTGGCTATAGTTGTCACAGATTTACTGTTCGGTGCAGTTGCTTTGAAGAACATGACCTTAGATTATTCTCGAATTATCCCNTAAAAAAGTCTCAGGAAAATGAAGTATTGTATTGTATTATCATTAAAACTACCTACACCTTCAATAAATTTATTGAAAACACTATAAATCGGAGTGACTCAATAGACACATCAATCAAGGTATTCCAAAAAACGTTGTTAACTAATAACACAGATAATAGAATCGAGATATTCTTACCGCATTTGACTAGTTGATACTGCCTAGTTGAAAGACCTAGATCTAGATGGATGACCTCTTGGTATCTTGTAATAAATTGCATTTACTATTGTTATTAGGATTTCGCAGTCGACTAGTTAGTGATAGGAATTATTTTCAACAACTTCAGGACTTTCACCCTCTAGAATCACCTGACTTATCTGCGTGATAATATTTATAGAGTACTACTTCAAGTGCAAATTGAAACGAATAGTATCGGTTGAATAAAAAATCCAAGAAAAATGTTCATTATTCATTACTTGATTTCATTGTTATCGGCTCCAAAGTGTTCAACTTCTCTGTCTCCCCAACGTCATACTGAATTTGATTTATACGTACAGGTGATCTATCGCATCACCAATCCTAATCGTCATTAATAGTAGCCCCAAGAAATACGTAAAACAGGCAAACTTGATCATTTTTTTCAAATCTTATTGAAGCGGGAAATTAAAATATTCATATAAAAAAACGTGTGCGTTTCGGGACGCCCGACAGAAGTGATAACTTGAACTAATCTAAGTTGAACTATTTAATATTGAAATTGTTCAACTTGATAAAAGCTCAGGTCAGTACATACATTTAATGTATATTGATATGATGATGTAAGGATAAGTTATTTATTAATAAAAAGTTTCACTGATTATTTTTTGTATGTACATTTATTATAGCATAAGCCAATTATTACTTTTGGAGGCTCAAATAATGTACATATACAAAATTAGTACCATTTTTAAGCCACGTTTAACATAATAAAAGAATATTACGTGCTTGCCGGTTAGATTTTTATAAAACTGTCTACAGTATATGTTTATGGCACACTAAACACTGAGCGTCTGTCCGACGAGAGAGAAGGGGCCTTCCGTTGACGTATGTGTTATAATAGTGAAAGGGAAGCCAGACAGACTAGAGCTGTAACGGATTATATAATGAAGCGCTTTACCCTCCCATAAGAAGTTATCAGTTCAAAAATGGCTTTTTGAAAAAAAAATCTTGGTACCTATATTGAATAATAGAACAACAGTACATTGGATTCTATAATATAATAACTATGACACAAAAAGTTGTTTTTGTTAGATATTGAAATGATGAAAGTCAATCATCTGGGAGAAATGGTACTCTCAAAAAAAAGAAAGAGCGGCAGGTTGCTCCATTTCGATTGGTTTCAAGTCGTTCTTCAATAATTTGAATTTCACAAAAAGTAAAAGTATCTCCACTGAGACGTTAAATAAATAACATGTTTGCATTAAAAATCATTCGAGAAAAACAAACATTTTCCTTGAATTCGGTTTTGGATAAGTTGTAAAATTATCAAGTGTCGATGTTTATCTATAGATAACTATTTTTAGACCGATAACTTCGTCCACTTGAATTCGTTGTTATTCCTTTTTTGAAGCTGCTAAAATACAAAAGAAAACTAAGCAGGAAACTTATCTAATTATTGTGGTAAATGTGTTCCTGTTTACTTATTTTTCAACGGATTATGTTATGAAGGGTGAACAAAATATGAACTTCAACTTCATTATTCGAATAAAAAAATGGTTAATTACTTCTTAGTAGAGATACATTCTTCTCCAATAAATTTCTGTGACCTTCGCTAAACTGTTCAAAACTTTTTCAGCAGCTTGAATGTATTCAAAAAAAAATTACTAGTATTGTACATTGCAAAATCTCATAAGTTGGATATATTGACAGCAGGGCCGTCACTATAAATATTTTTTGGGGGGGTCAGTGCAAGTTAGAGTCTATCACGAGTGGCTGAACAGGCCGAAACCGGTCTGCAAGTGTGTTCCAATAATTGAATATCTCAGTTCAGACTTCCATTGTCTTTAATGTAATATAAATTCATTTGATTTTTTTTCAGGGATTTCAAATCAATTTATATTATATTAGACAATGGAAGTCCGAACTGATGAAATACTATTGGAAACCTATTGAGGCAGTTGTATCGCCAACAGCATATGCAGGAATAACTTCGGTAAAGAAGCCTGCACTGACACCTGTCGGATATAATCCAACGCACTTCGTGGTATTAGCCAGGAGAGTAATTGTTTTCTGCCTGAACTGATCGATATTTATAACTGAAAAATTTATTCCAAAAATAAACTTTAATCAGTCACTATCTGAATACAAATTTCCTTCATCTTCACTACTGCTTGTGCTGCTATCGTCTTTAAATATGTTTGTCGCTGTCGCACCCCTATACGAACGACATCCCTCAGAAGTCGAAACTTGTGCGAGCTAAGGACTAATGAGGTCTTAGTTTTTAACGTGTGATTCCTAACACCGACCAACACGGCGGTCGATCTGAGTGAGTGAAAAAAAGCACCCACGACGAACCGACCGGCTACCGACCGACCAATTTAAATTTATAATCACCATTGTTTGAAGGTCTGTGAATGTTTCATTTTACCAATATTTCCGCCCTATATCTACTACATATTGGCAACGCTTTTGCGTTGCCCGCCAGTTTCCTCACATCTTCCAACTTGAAAGTTACATTCTTTTGGGACACATTGTGTTTGACAGAAAAGCCCAAATGAGTTCAATGGGATTCAAATCCGGACGATAGGGTGGAAGTAGCAAAACGTTATGTCCGTGTTCAAGCAGAACTTTATCAAATTTGTATCTAATATGATGCTTTTTATTTACCTAGATCAACTCGTATAATTCGGGTTCGAGCATGTTAAGAGTGAAAATAATGCTTTTTTCGTACAGCTACTTCATCATGTCAGCCTTCCTAGAATTTGTGTGGGGGCTGGATTGATTTGAATATTATGGTATGGTGCATTATCGGTCACGACTATGGAATTCACAAGTAAATTTGGGATTAACTTTTCTTGTAACCACTTATCATAATTTTCAGAATTCATTTATGAATGATGTGCCTGATTTGAATATAAGCTGACAATTAGGTATAAAGCCCATGTCACCTCCTGCATGGACAATAATGAGTCTTGGTATGTATGTTGGAAGATGTATGTCTACTATGAAGGTATATTTCATCAAGAAACATCGTTGGTCGCTGTTGGCTATAAAAATATTTAATTTTTTGCAAATACTTGATTTTCAATGCTCTAATGTCCATTTTTTTATTGAAATTTTGTCTATTTTTCAGTCCTTCTCCATTTGAAATTCGGAAGCCAATATTTTTAAAACGTCATTAATTTTGTGTTGGAACTTTTTTACCGCTTCTTTCTTGGGGTGGAAAATTTTACTTCTCCGTTATTTGCAGAAATTAATTGCTTCCCGTCTTTAACCACTCTTATTCTTATTGAAATACCTAATACAAAATAAAGATGTGTGTTGAAATAGGTATTTTTTTATTCATTCAATGTTTTCTGTAGCGAGAGAAGTCTCACATTTAACACTTCAGCTTAGAAATCTAAAGATGTGGAATAAGATCTATGAACAGGGATAAAGGCCCAAAACAACCCATTGTTCACCCTCTTACATAATAAGTAGAGATAGATTACAGGTAAACATTGGGCACTTAACAGGTAGTCACTTATGTAAATTAGGAAATAATATATTAGTATAATAATATATTAGTATAAATTAACACAATGCTGGGAATTCATTTATCGAACATCACTTTGCTTGAGGTAATACTCTAAACAGANGATGCTACTTTCGTGGGATATTTTATCAGTATTTTTTGTTGAAAATTTATATCTCAGATATATTCAAACAGAATGAAAAACTTTAAAGATCTCACAAAGTCTGTAATCAAAACTAAAAAAAGTTTCCATTATTAAACGGTTGTGTTTCATATTTTGCTACAAGGACAATGAAATTCTTATCTAATCTCACATACATTCTAGTTTCAGAAAAATTCCTTAACGCAAAAAGAATCACCAAGGAGATTTGATTAAATTGGCTGAAAGAATGGAAAAATTCTGTGAATTTAGGGAATAATATACGTTTACACTATCTTTCAGTAAGTCACAAAACGGTTATACAGTAATTCGCTGCTAATGAGTTCAATGGAATGTGTCTGCCTACAGCATTTCGAGAAATGGATCCTCCAGAAGCCAGTAGAGGATTAATCATTTTGGTAGGAAGAGAACGCTTCAAAGAATGTGTATGAGGCTTTGATTTCTAAGTATATTACAGAAACCTTGCGAAAAGGGATTTATTTGTTTAATACAAGTCCCAAGCGATACTAAACACATGAAATAATTAGTAGGAGATATTGAAGTACTTATAAGTAGTATTTTGGGTTATTGATTAATGTAATAAATAATTTGTTAAAAATATCTATGTCATTAAAAGCAGTGTAAAAAAACGAATATTTAATAGAAAAGTGCTTTCTCAGCTGATACTAGAACAGGGACTCATTAGCTAATGCCACAACAGAAACTTCTTGGTTATTACCATAACAGAAATTTGAGTTGCTACTTGGTGCATATGTCAGGCAATGTATGACAGGAACCTTATTCAACTGGTGGGAACTTTAGTGCATACACTCCTATCGAGTGATTTTCTTATATAAATATATAAAAAGATTCCATCATTATTTTGACGGAAGTAATTGTAGGACCTATTGCAAATACATCATGGTAATCTCTAATGTGTCTGTTAGATCACCAGGTTTTGTCCTTGACATGTATCAAGGAAACTAATTGCAAGTATGTTGACCATCCGTCAAGCAATCAAAAGAATGATTACCAATATTGGCACTGAAAAATGTGAAAGTATATAACATCTCACAAGTTTCTCTCAGCCTAAAGAGGTCATAGAGTTGAAATGGAATGTGATTAATTTACATATTGAAATGACGTACCTATCCTACTTTTCCCAGACTAAACAAAATTGTAAAAATAGAAATATAGTTGGGATAAGGAAGATCGTACAACAAAATCCCTTCGATTCCATGACATCAAAGTCGAGGCCGCGGATGACGAGAAATGAAATAAATCCCGTGTCAAGTGTTTACCTCACCTCTGTTTACACCTTTTTTACACGCCTACTATTACATTTTAAATAGCGTTTGTATTCTTTTCGCATAGATTCGTTTGGATATTTTCAGACCCTGAATAGATTTCGAGGAAATAATATTGATCAGCATTCGTCATTCGTTATTTACCTTTTTCGGTAGCATAACTGTTCAGATGTTCGTCGTCCCTTGACACCTGAGTAATGATGGAGGATGCTTCCATTTAAACATTTGTTTATCTCCTCATGTTTCACGACACATTACTGAATCACTATATTTTACGCGTAACTAGGAAGTGATTGTTCAAAAAGTCAATAGTCCACCAGCCACCAATTTTCTTACAGTACCTCCAAAAACTAGTAGAACATGGAACTTTAACAACAATCAACATCAACATATCACTGAATGAAAACTATGATTACCGACACTTGTCAAACACAAAGCGGTAAATTCAAACGGGTAAAAGCAGGTATTTCGCATTATTATTGAAATATATTTAATCGTCTTCTGGCATTTTAATGGAATAGGAGAATCATTTCAATTTTTCCTGGATTAATAAATTTTGTTAACCAAATATTTCAAACTGAACTAATTCAAAATTTGTATCGCTATCTCTTTTTCTGGAATCATCTCATAAATCTACGTCATCAAATGTCGAGAATATTTTGGCATTGCTTCACACAATGAAAACTTCCAACTGCGCTGTGAGTGAGCTATTCATTATATTATATACAATCCACAAAGCACCTATATAACTATTAAGTTATATATATAATATAATTCAAATCACCTGTTAAAATTGTTTTAAAATCGTAAAAACAATTTCTCAGAAATAATGTTTCCATGCATCTTTTATATAGTTAATTTTCATATGAAATATTTATTTTAAGTGATACATTTCTTATGTATCTTATTTTAAGTAGAAAAGATCTTTTTACTGAAGATTTGTGGCTATAGTTGCCACAGATTTACTGTTCGGTGCAGTTGCTTTGAAGAACATGACCTTAGATTATTCTCGAATTATCCCTAGGTTGTATGCAACTTTATATCTTTATTATTCGCACTTTTACACTAGCTTCGGTGGAACGTTTTCTGCTGAATTTCCAGGAAATTGTATGATTATAAGAATTGTTTTATAACGTTTGAACACTGCACCAATCACAAAACCCCAAATAAGATTTATTTAGTGGAAGCAAATAAAACTTCGTACTTGTTTGCAAAAGTCATGCGCTACTCACTGATTGGCTAATTTGTTTGTGCACCTCTTGTAATACATTGACATTTGACGATTTGGAATTAGAAGTAAAAAAATGTTGAGGTTAAGTACGGGTACAGACAAAAAAATATGAATTTAATTTTAGTCAAAATCAGAAGACAAAGGCGTTTGAGGTTCATTTCAGATGTCATACGATGAACACAAGAACTACAAATACGCATTTAATTATAGTTTCATTAATTTTTCTTAATATGTAAGTACCTAACCGAAATTTGAATCTAAAATATTCTAACTTGTTTTCTTCCCCAAATTCCAGACCCATTTTACTAGCCATTATTACAATACATGATCAAGACGGTTTTAGTCAAAGTCTTGAGGTACAGAATGAAACAGAACAGAGTATTCCAAAGAGTGTTCAGGACAGTGGTAGTGACCTGGAACCCAGTGTGGAACTAAATCTGGAGGTTGTTAATGTGGATTCTGGGTCGAAGGAATTGACTGATAACACGACTGAAAATTCTGATGTAGTTACTAGGTAAAACATCAAAATTTCTTGTTTTCAGTATTCTGTAGCAAACAAATATTAGAGAACGTTGATATTCAAAAAACCTCAGTAAGCTTGAACTCTAAATTCTCAAAAGCTTCAGATATGGTAAACTAGAAAAATTCATAAATAAGTTAGAAATGGTATAAGAGATGTCTGTTATGAACTTATTGAGTCATATCTATCAAATCAATCTCAAGTTGTTAGCCTAAAGAACAAACGAAATTATTATATATCTAGTAGACTCATTATCAGGTAAGGTGTACCCTAGAGCTCAATCCTTGGATAAATATTCTTTTTTCTATATCTAAACGTCACAGGAAATAATGAAACTCTCAACCAAAACATCAATCATGTCAAACTTTTTCAAACAAATTCTTTACTCCAATGCCTAATTTCTTTATGTGGAACTCCAAAAAAACTTTATTCTAATATCTAACTTCATAAAATTCCTACAATACAATATTTTCAAAACAAAATGGATAGATTCCTAGAGCATTATTTAATAAATAAAAATGAAATTTTCATACTGGCGTTGATATTTATTCTAGAAATAGCAATTTCTTGTTATCAAGATTGACTCACCTAGTATATATCGTCCAATATATGAACACAAGGCATGTATTGTTAACACGTTAAAATAATTCTCAATTTTTTAATTTGATATTTATGTAATATTGCGAGCTCAATCAATATTTGTTAATATGCATATTTGAATAAGGATTGACCTTTTGAATAGCAGACATTTGCTGTGTCCATTGATGATAACAATACAATTATTCTTATTTTCGCAGAACTTTACCCAATGATACTCCAGTATTGTTACAAACAGATAGTTCACCTGTAGATTTAGAACACATTGCCGAAGTTTCATTAGTTCTAACTAGTCAGAATGGAGAAATACGAACACAGAATATTGCTGCTGCAACTGAAAACATTCCAAGCAACATTTCCTCTAATATTTCAAATGTTGATGTTGAAAACCTTACAGAAAGTACACAATTGGAGACGGAGTCTGAGGGGAAAAATATCACTGAGGATAAATCGGAAGAAATACCTTCTTTTTCAGAGTGGGCACAAAAAAGGCTGGAAGAAGTTGAGAAAAATAAACAGTCAAACGAGTCTGTCAAGGGACAGGTTATTAATGGTAAACACTTTCTATTTTTGGGTAAATATTCGTTTTAGTTTTTGAAAAATGTTCAACAAGACTTACATATTTTTATCCGCTTAATAAAAATCTGATGTCAGAAAGTAGTAACCGCCAAAAAATTTACTATTTCTGGAACTCACTTAAGGTAATAAAAACTCATAAAATGACATATTTTCTCATGATTTGCATGCTGCGGACTTTTATTCACCCATTTTAAATGTCCTCACACAATATAAAACTTTTATTTCACCAAAGTAACCCTATTTTTGAATCTACTGAAAACACTTTCAATAGTTTCGTTTTATGCCGGAGGTATCAAGTTCTACTATTGAGAGCATCAACACCAAACATGGAGAGAATATAAGTATATAACTAAAATTAAACTGATGATGACAATCTGTCAGTCAAATGGAATGAAATTAAAAGAAAATCAATTCTAGGAATCCTTAAAAAAGTCCCTTGTAAAAGTGATTTAGTTTGAAAAATAATTATGATGAAGTTTGCTGGAAAATCAATTTTGAGGAACTTTTCTACATTTGAATGGATGTTTCTTCAAAAGTAATCCGGAGCTCCAAGTTTTAACTTCATATTCCTATTCAACAGACAAATATATTAATCTAATTAAAATGTTTTCAAAACTAGCAAAAATAGTTAAAATGAAATTTTACACATTTTTGAAATGTTTGAAATGGTGTCATGATTTTGATTTCAGGAAAGGGTATGAACCCCAAACTTCGTTGGAAGAATTATGCCTCTCTCGACTGTGGAGCCAAAGTGGTTGGGGCTAATTCTGAGTCTGTCAGTCCTGGGTCGATCCTATCTCCTGCCGTCGACGAATATAAGTTGAGCCCTTGTACCAGCCGAATATGGTTCGTTGTAGAACTCTGCGAGGCAATACAAGCGCAGCGAATCGATCTGGCCAATTACGAATTGTTCTCATCATCGCCAAAGGATTTCACAGTATCTGTGAGTGAGAGATTCCCTACCAAAGACTGGGTAATCGTAGGAAAGTTCACTGCGAAAGATGAGAAGGATATTCAGAGTTTCGACATAGAAACACAGCTTTTTGGAAAATATATAAAAGTGGAGATCAAATCTCATTATGGGACAGAGCACTACTGCCCTATTTCATTGTTTAGAGCATATGGGATGTCAGTTTTTGAAGGTAAGTATTTCACTGAACTAACTGTATTGAACTGTATATATTCATAATGAAAATCATTTCCGTTGTAGTTTAACATCACTGAATGCATTGGGTTTTGTGGACACCATTCAGCTATATATAAATTTCAAAAATCACAAACCATTTTGCAATCGATCTGCCTAGAACTAGACAGTCAACAAAACTGTTTTTCAAATATTTGAATTTATGACAACACATTCTTTATTACTATTGTTTATGTTATACATTGATAAGAGCTTGCTTAGAATTTGAAAGATGTTCATCCATATATGGGAAATTCATTTCACAAATTTCAATTTACATTTTTGTGTATAAATAAATAATCGAAACTAAAAAATATGTATATACATTGAAGGAATTCACAATAATGGTATTATCTTCCAGATCAGTCTGATAAAAAAAATTGATTTTCAAAATATTGTAAAGTTTCAAATATGTATTTTTTTCTGAATAATATTTATTTGCAAGTCTCGGTATTCTGTTCAGAAGGGCATGAATGGTATAATTAGTTAGCAGATGGCTATGTGAAGAGATTGAACATGTCTTGTACTGTCCACTGATTGTTGTATAAGCTGCCTGTAAGTGGGTTTCGTTCTTGTATGTATAGTAATGAAAAAAAAAGTGAAGATCGCAGTAGCGAATGAAGAATTAGGTGTAACAATATTTGGAAATAATGATCAACATTTTTTAAATTCTACATACCTTATAAATTTATTTTGAACCATTTAGATGTTCTCAGTTTGATACAAAATCAGAATATACTTCATTGTTGAAAGAATATATAATCAATATGAATTTATTTTATAAAGTATTTGTAATTAATTGACCGAAAATGTTATTTCATCAGTATTACAGAAAGAAGACCCTGGCAACGAGAACACTACCGATCAAGACGATGACGACGATGACGACGACGATGAAGAAATCCTTAACATAGATCATAACCCTGGCAAAGCCCAAAAGAACGTCTTCACCTCCGCTACTGACGCCGTAATATCGATGGTGAAACGTGCGGCCGAAGCCCTAGGTAACAAGGTCGACAATGAAACAGTCTTTGTCAAAAAATCTAATGCCAGCACTCTAGTCAACACATGCAGTTCGCCGAGACACGTTATTGTCTGTAATAATTGCAGTGAAACACTCTTCGGGCAGATATTCGAACTGCTGAGCTGCAAAGCTGAAGAGATCAGTAAACTAGTCAGCATTCCGGCTATAATGACTGCTTTGCTGGATTCTGATGTTTGCCGGAGGTTTGGGTACGAATTCAATCCATCCTTCAAAGAGACTATCAAGTTGGAACATTTCGAAGCATTTTTTCCTGAAAAGTACTTAGGAGCGATGTGTAACGAAGCTGCCATTCTAGAAAAGCAGGGACTGCTCAACGTGAGCCAGCAGTTCCTGAATGTAACAAAAACTCTAACCAAAGATAAAATTATAAACATGAACATCGAAGATTCGGAAGAACCGAAGCTAAGCACCAATGATACTTTTGTAGAAAATATTGAAGTTGTTGACCACAGTGATACACCTTCAAGCACCACTTCTGAGGATGTTTCTCAGATTAAACCAACGAAGACCTTCAGTTTGGATCCGAATCTAACTCAGACGGTTGTTGAAGCTGAAGACTCCGGGTTGGAAAGCATCACAGAGTCTCCCGAAACCACCACAGTGACTTCTCATGAGATTACAATCGAAAATCCTCTCAGTGTAGAGGTAGAGGCAACTACAGAGGGTGCGGAGATACTGGAGGAACATATCGATCATATAGCTGATATGAATATAGACAACCCGAGTACGGCTGTCCCTTCTAGTACTTCTACAAATTCACCTCAAGCGCCGAAGGAGTCTATATTTATGAGATTATCGAATAGAATTAAGGTGAGAAATTGTTGTTCTCTACTCATTCATAGGAAAGGAGTTTTTGTTGAGTTTAATGCATGATGGCTAAATTAGAGTGAATGAAATATATCGTTAAACTGTGAAGAGCAAAATAATCGACCATATGCGCTTACATTCATTGAGTAGTTACTGATGTTTTTATGTTTTTGCAGGCTTTGGAAAGAAACATGTCTCTTTCAAGCCAATACTTGGAAGAGCTGAGCAAGAGATATAAAAAGCAAGTAGAGGAAATGCAGCTCCTGTTAGAGAAGACCGTCGCCACGATGCATGAAAAGACCCAAGAACGGGCCGAACAAAACAAACAGCTCGAGGAACGTCTGGACCATCTTACGGCTTCAATAGAGGAACTGACGGCAGAAAGGCGTTTCTTCTTTTCTGTAGTCTACTTCCTGTTACTTTTCGTCTTCATTTGCACCGGGTTTCGTTTTTTTTGCAGGACTTGGTCAAAGAGTCGACATAAGAGTGAAGAGATGGATGAAGTACTCAGTCTCGTGAGCGAAGAGTCCACGAAAGCAGAAAAGAGACGTCGCCCGAGCGATCAGGTCCTCAAAATCGTGCGGTACTCTTCGATCAACGACGACGAGAGGCACAGGAGGGCGAAGAAACGAAAAAAGAAAGCGGCCAAACGCTCCAACTCGGTGGGCAGCCTCAAAATAAAAGATGAAGATTGGGCGCAAAACACGCATCAGGTTATAGAAGACGTGCCGTTTCTCGACGAGAATGATACATTGACTCTCGAAGCTTGTACTTTTCCCAACGACTTTTCCAAAAGTGACTCTCCCGGAAGGCTCTACATCGAAGAAGATTCTAGTCTGCAGATTACTGAACCTAGCGTAAATTATTTGAAAAGTACTCCTAGTGAGCCTGTTAAGAAGGAAAAGAAAGGATTTAAGAAATTCCTCAAGAAGGTTTTCTGAGAATTTTCTGTTGGTATACTCACTTATTTAAATATATGATTCCGTTTTTAAAAGTGTTTCATTGCCCTAATTTTCCTTTCCAAAGAATGAAGATTAAATATGATTTTTTTTAAATTTACTTAATTAATTCCAGCAAACTTAACAGTTCATTTTTCTCTCAAGTTTTTGCAATTTTAATAACAGTTTAATTGCAAATATGATATGTAAATGAGTTATGAAGGACATTTTGAATGAATGTATGACTGAATGTCTGGTTGATATTGTTATAAATGTTTTGACATACTTTGTATACATATCTGGTTATTAGAACTCATTCTCAAACACATACTCGAAATAAAGTTCAAAATATCACGTTTTCCAAAAAGGAAGAAAACAATTTGGAGTCATAAAACGGTAAATAATGATTACTCGTATCAAGAGTACAATAGGGTCATTCAATCAAAATTAATTTTTTGCACTTCATATTCACTGATAGTGTATGCATCTAGAATATAATGGCCAAAATTTGAAGATGATAGCATAAGATATTGCTCGTGAGCCGAGAAAGTTACTGTGGCGTCACGAGATACGTGTGATTGTCGGTACAACATCTGATCTGTTATGATGCGGAGCATTTGATGTTTAATTGAAGATATCAGCAGCACATCATCTGAAGATCGTGATCTGTCATTATCCACTCTCTCTCTCATAAAACAAAATGTAGGGTGTCTCCAACGTGCAATTGTTCATGATTAATCATGAAAAATGAGAAATAAAACTGTCTTTATTTTTTCTACTTTTATTTGTAACTAACGTTACTGCACTTTACAAACTAATTATTGTGTTTGTTTGGAAATGTCTTATAGGACGAAACTGCAGTAACGTTAGTTACAAATAAAAGTGGTGAAAACAGAAAGTTTTCTCATTTTTTATGTTGATCAAATATATGATATATATTAGTGCATAAAGGTGTTGACTCAATATTGCTGTGAATTGCCATAAATGATGTGTATGAGTGTCAATTAATAGCAGCATTTCTTGCTGAAATCAATCACAGTTCTTGCTGAAATAATCACTAACAGACCAGTATCAGAATATTTCTGCTCGTCACCGCAGGACGAATCCAACCAATTTTGTCAAAAAGTGTTTTTTTTTGTTACTTATCATCATAATATAACAGCACAAACATAATGGTGTACTTGTGGTAAATAAATTATTTTCATGATACCGGTATTTTACTGAGCTCCTCTATTTAGGTAGCGGGTTGGCTGTCCTTGTTCATCTTTCACTGCCTGAACTACTGTGCATGCTGTTTTTGGCGAGTGCATTGGCTTGGGATGTGGGGGTTAAGCAAACCGGTCACTTGTGGTTCTGTTATTCCATAACTGAATGATATCTCATCGATGGCTTATATCCTAAGGTGTGTGTATCCGTGCCTAGAGGATGAATAACACTGAGCCTATCAGCTGTCTCTACGGAACCTTCGAGATACCTACCGGGCGCCCTTTCGTCGTAGCATCGCCTTGTCACGGTAATGCGGGGCTCTGCCCTGATTGACCTTCTTTCCCTAGCTACTCGTGGGACTTTTATGCACAGAGTAAACTTAAAAATTCTTTCTGACGCTGAATCTACACAGGATATGGATGTCGAACTTACGACTCCAACTGACCCCCTGTAAACTTAGATCAGGAGCGAGTCTACAGAGGAGCTGGATGTTGAGCTTACGACTCCAACTGATCTCACTGTAAATTTAGATCAGGAGCGGAAGCTTCTCAACTCTCCAACTCCTGATCCAATAACTGGACCTAAAAAAAAGTTTCGTGGTGTATCCAGGAAACGACTGAGTCGTCTCCTCAAGAGCGGGATACCTTATGAAACCGCCTTACACCAAATTCTTGAGCGGCGTACGCAGAACCTGTCCCAGGTAGAGGAACAAACCCCCCATGATCAGGTTAGGAAACGTTTACGCTCAAGTGATGATTCACCATAACCAGAGGCGAAACAGCCCTGCACGGTTGAATCCAAGGCATCGTCAGGTGTAGCTGACGTGCAAAAACCCTCATATGGAAAGGTTGCCGCGGGTATCAAGGTGGGAATCTTGCACCTTGGCTATCCGACTACCTCATTAATGATGAAACAGTAGAGCATATATTGTGTGCTTGCCCCGCTGGGGTCTGAATCACGTTTTTAGACTTCGACAGAGCTGTACTTTTATCATGTGACCTGAAAGTCCATTCACCATACAAACTAATTGGTTTCATTAAGAAACAGGGTTTATTTGGTTGAGTGTGAATAGGTGTGAGCTACAATAAACCCTTGCGGGTTGCGGTGGAGGGTCGAATAGACCCACTTACTTTGGACCTAACCTAACCTATTTATTTGAAAAGTTGATGAATATGCAGTTACAATACATGTGTTTCCCGATGTTTTTGTCATCTGATATGCCAAGTTCAAACAAAAAAAATCAATGTCAAAATATTCCTAACCATCTACGTCTTTCACGATATCTCAATAAAAGTTCAAATTACCGTCCATCGTTCCAACAAATATTCGCTTTTGCAATAGCATTTGTGGAGTTATAGCAATGCAACCTCTCCTTATTGTATCTTTCAAATTGCAAATTTGATGTATCTGAGTTCTAAGATATTGGTTTCTATTTTTTTGAGAATAAACAAATATTGGAGACAAATGTCGAGTCACATATGTATTGTAATACACATAGATGAATTTGTTACTAGAGTGGCACCAAAAGTCCATGAAAAACTAGAGGTCCATATTTAAAAAAAAAGTTGATGAAATATAATGAACGAAACGTCGCATTTCAAATTGGTTTATATCGGATTATAACAAATATGAAACATTATTGAAAATTCCTCTACTTTTTTAGGTTATGGTAAATGCCTGCCGAAAAACAACTACCCCCCGGCTAATACCACGCTGGACATTGAATTATATCCGACAGACATTTATGCAAGGTAAAACACAGATGTAAAACACGTTCATCCAGCAGCAGGACCATTCTGAAATCAGTCGAGTAGCTCACCTAAAGACCGGTTTCGAGGTATTACCTCTCATCAGTACAGGAAAGATCCGACCCAAACAGCAATGTGCTTGGTACCTACTCGATTAATTTCAACGCCCATCGACTGTATGTCTTAAGATAAATATTGTTTACTAGTAACAACTTCATTTCGTGAATAAAGCCTTAAACGGAAAGCAACATCTCAGGATAGTCTTATCTTTATACAAAAATCCCATGTACTGTCTGTACTCTGACAGAAATCAAAATAAGTTTGAAGACTGAATTTGACTTTCATCAGACATTTATGCATCTTGCATATATCCGCCACAATGGGTCCGTGAGACTTTTTTATATTTCCAGAATAAAGATAACCTTGAAGAGCCGTTGTTCTATAATCATAGGTGACATTAAAATCTCATCGCTGAAAGAGTTAAAGGCTACCTCAAAGTTAGAGTTTGAGAAGTGTTTCGAGGATTGAACAAAGCGATGCCGATGGCACAAGTGCATATCTAATGGGGACTATTTTGATAGCGATAACATCAACGTAGACGAATAAATAATTTTTTTTTGAAATTCTCGTTATTTTCCGAATATACCTTACATTATAATATGTGGAAGAAAGTGATAATTAGTATCTTCAGTCAAGTAACTTTCTAAATACAAACTTAAGTCTAATATTACAATTCGTCGAGTATTCGTCTCTGGGATAGATATATCTGCAGGACGAAATAAACTGAGTTTTTATACATTCCCACTCTAATAATCGTATAAAAATTTCACAAAATATGTGTAGGTACATTGATGTTAATGGTGTCACACTTGAAACCCAACCTTTCAAAACATTTTGAAGTGTGACACCATCTACATCAATGTCTAAACTTTGTAATTAGCGTTTGAATGTACCTATTGGATTCAATTCACATTCAGAAATAGAAGCTCGACGAATTGTGACAATAGAGTGAGTTTGTTTTTTGATCCAAATGCTACANAATAACCAATTTCAAACTTACCTGCTTGATCGAATAAAATGTGCCAGGTTAAAATAAACCTTTAGCAAATACCAAATTATGGAATATGGTGTACCGTATTACTAGCTGAGACGGAAAATTATTCCTATCAGAACAGTAACACAAATAATATTAATTCTTTTAAATATATAATGTGTACAAAACTTTTCGTTAGTTCATTTTCAGTTAACACAAACTGGATGGATTGCCAACTCGAGAGCCAATTGTCCGTGTGAAAAACAAGGTGTGCTCAAATCAAAACCACAAGTATACTGTGTCCAAACCACAAACGGACATAGTTTGGCCTTGGGACAAATGCCAATCTAATTGGAAATTGCACAAGTTTAAAATGAATTGGCACATATGTAGATATATTAAGGATTCGTGGTATTGATATATTTTCACTTCGGAACTTGTCATTTAAAATGCTGGCTTCAACAACGTGTTGGAATCAAATAATGGAGCGATCCAACCTTCAATGATTGTAAATTATGCGGTGGCATGCCTGTCAAATCCAATGAGTTCAAAAACTGTTGGATAATTCACAGCTCCGGTGGCATCGCAAATTATATCTACGCTCGATGGATAAACAATAATAATAGCCGAAAACTGTGTAGGCAGTGAGAGATGGCTTTTTGTGTGAGAGAGATAGGAGACCAGCTTTGTTGTTATCCCTACTCCGTGCTGTTTACTGCTCTACTGCTCTACTTATCAATTTCCCCGTTGCAAATAATGCAAACTAAATTCAATAAGGCGGAATAAGTCATATATATTCGATCATTGAGCACTAAAATCGAATTTTTACATTTACTATTTTCAAAAAGTTCCAAAAGGTTGAGTTTTGAACCTTTTTCTTCCAAATGCAATACGTCATAATGTGATTGAACTCGTGCCCCTTTGTTAAAAGATGATTCGCAAATATTGAATTGGTCTTTCCGTTCGAAAAACTACTTCTGTACCGAAAGAAGTTCTTCTGGTTTGTCCAATATAAAATTTTGGGAAGGACTTCCGATTTATCCGACACTGGAGATTTATCTTTATCGATTTTTAATGAATTTACTGAAATTATTGGTTGTTCTGTGAGCTACGTCCAATTCTTTGCTTTTACAAAAACGAGCGATATTGTTAGTAGGATCTCCTAAGTGAGTTAGAGTTACATAATGTTTGTATCATTCTTTGAAACCGGATATAGACCTGGTTCATAGCTTGTTTCTGTAATTTTTTAGAAAAAAATGACTCAACAATATATTTTTGTTCTCAATATTATTTTATTTAGTTATTTGTTCTGAGATTTTTTTAAACAGACACTCGTCATTATTTATTCACCACTATTTTACCTATATTAGAGTTATCTATCAAGTTTCTTTGTATTTATATCCATGTTTCATCCTGGTTTATCTTAAGTTTAATCAATGTTTACTGTTTTATTGATGTTTGAATTACTGAAATAGTTACAAAATTTATAATATTTGTCTACTCCTGGATTTGTTTGTGTTTATTGTACAAAACTATTTAATGGTTGTAACACTCATATTATTTGAATTAGTTTTTTTGCTCACTTGCTACATGCCTGTTATCCCCGGCAATAAAGACACTTCCAGAAAATAAAAAAGGCCCTCACGACGATTTTTCGCGACCCATGACGTATCCCCATACATAACTAAGAAACAATAGAGCTCCGGCAAATGAAATGAGGCCAGGGCACCAACACATTCCGGGCACAAGTCGAGAAGTTGCTAGCAAAACTCCTAATTGCGGCAGTTGAAAGCGACTTCGCCGAAAGTTTCCTACACTTAATTACCCGGAATAATTTGTCAGGAGTTGTTAGTTACTCCTTGTCGCGATGCACATGCCTTAAATCACTGATTACTACCCCAGCTCATTGCTCCATTGATACTGCAACTGACGCGAATTTATTGCGAAGAATTCACGTATCGAGAAGAATCAATAATGAATTTATTTCCACCATTAATGTGGAATCTCCGTATAGTCTTATTCAACTAAAATCACTTTTTAATCCTTTTCTGTCAGTCTTCTTCGGTAATATTAAATACTTTTTCTTTAACTAGCTCTATTACCTGCCTTCTTATAAAATTTTGTAAAATCATTTTTACGACTAATGCTTTGTTTCAATTTTTCCCAAATCAACTCGATATGGGATTGAAAACACAAAAATAGGTGGGAAGTCTCAATATGGTGTGTCCATACTTTTCAGCAATACTCTCAAGGGCATACCGTTATTCAAAATCAAATCAGAATCAAAAAATCTTTATTTCCGTAGACCTAGGGAAGGCATGGAAAAAGTCACATTACTCAGTACAATTACAATGAGGTCACAATCATAAAACAACATAATTATAAGACATATTACATAACATCTAGACCATAAAAGGGATACAAAAATTAAGATTTAAAATTCCAAATCAGACTGGCTAGCTAAAGCCTGTTCTACCATCACTCTGTTGAAGGTCGTTTTTGATGATGCCTAGTTCCCTTTCGAGACCTTCCTTTGTATTACAGAGCCCGAAAGCACGGTCTAGTAGAGTCTTGATGATTCCTCTCTTAGTCTATTGATGGTGGTTGGATTTCTGGTTCNATAGTCAACATTGCAGCCCTCAAGTTTTTTCCACATAGTTTCGAAGAATTCGGAACTCATCCTTTACTTCCTCCGCAATGCACAATGATTAGTCGCGATCCTTTGTTTGCAGGCATGTTAGCAGTACACATTATCGAACCATCAGTCCACCCTTTCGTAACTGTGTCGTGAGTGTCATCCCAAGTTTCGTTCAAATAAAAAATTTGCCGTTGTTCTTGTCTATATTTAGTTATTTGTTCTAACTATTTGTTACGCAATTCCCATATTCTGTTTTCCATAAATGCTTGACGTTTGTTTATTATTTTAAATCTAAATCCTAGTTTCTTTATCCAATTTTGAAGAGTCTTGCCACAGCGGCTCACGTTACGGCCGGAAATATTCAATTTCTTCCTTATGATTTCAGTTGTAGGAATCTCATTGCTTTTGTAACAGTCCTATATTGTTTTTTTTCCATGATTTTATTAGATGAACATCTGAAGGTTTTGGTAATCCTTGATCACATCGCGTCTTGCGTTCATAAGGTATGTTTTTGACTATTTTACGTACAGTTGAGAAAGGAATTTCGGTAGAATCTGATGTTGCTTGTAATAGTTTGTTTCCCTCGAAACCAAACTCTCTGTGTTTCAATATTCAAATGCATCCAAATCTTATTCACTGGTATCTCTTTCTCGCATTGTTCACCATCGCTATTGGAATCACTACACAGGAAAAAGTCTGCGTTGTTATCCCACTCGTTATTACTAATAGTACTTGTCCAAGGACGCCGCATTTTAAAGAGATAACAAAAATTTTTAAGTTATTATAACTGCACCAATATCGAATTTCAGTTCCTGAACTGAACATTGACACCTCGCATTCTATTCGTCATCGTAACATGACTTCAAATTTTATTTTATGACTCTTCAACCAGTCATAAAACTCGGTTAGTAAAAATTATCCAATACGAACCGCCAATTCTTTAGTCCACGTGGACTAGTTGGCAGCGGCTTTATTTCTCTGTATTGGTTTTTTCTGGCCTTTGAGAGCGCCGATAACTTTAAGTATGCACAATACCGGTTATTTCGACTATACATACATATTGGAATGACCACAATGCGAGTGCCATAAGAAATTGCAATTTTGTAGGTTTTATTTTTTTGCAAAAATGAATGCAAACTGAACGTGAATAGTAATTCCTTTTGAAAACGTAAATTGGATGTTGATGACAAGTTTGTTTTGAAAGTCCTCTATTCTCAAAAGTTGGGTTAGAGACTTTAATCTCTAACAAATGCTGATTGATATATTGGTGTACTGGATTTAAAACTGGTGTCATTTCTTTGTGCAGCGTATTTAATTATTTGCGACAATGTGATGATGGTGACAGTTTGTAACATAGCAAGGTGGAGCATACCTATATGAGTAAAACGTAAGTTTTTTTAAACAAATATTCTGGGGGATTGTCAACACCAAAAATCGAAATATTCGTTTAAAATCATTACCTTTTACTATTGCACACTTACATCATATTCTTCATTTTATTCATTGTTAATATTCTTTGTTTTAATTTAAAAGTTTTTCCATGTTCTCAATTAATATTTATTTGAGGTTTTGATAATTTGATGGATAACAAATTATCTATAATTCATTTTTAGTTCATCTGAATGTTTTGCTCCTTTTATTTTATATACTAAAGCAACGTTTACATTTGGCAAGTTGACTCGCGGAAAGTAGGTACTTGCCGCCACTAAACTTGCTTGTTGATTGGCGTTTACATATTTTCAAGTTTATTCGCAACACCGTTGAAAATAAAGTAGCTCCAAGTGCCTTAGTGTGTNAAGTTGAGAATTTTGTAAAATTGTCACTTCAAAGTTTGTGGACTGTTCAGGACTGCTCTCTTACTTGGCAGAAATTGAAGTTTTCAAACAACTCAGAATTTCAAAGTATGGGATCTTCAAGTTATGCATGTTGGGAAATCCCAAACTTCTCCTGGTTCTTTCCCTTTTCTTATCACCTATCCCTTTCTTTTCTCTCATTTTTATTTTTTAAATTTTTTTCACTTATTTTTTCCTATCTTCACGGCCCAAAATTTCCCAACTTTTTCCCAATTTTTTCCCAAGTCGAAAAAGCAGGGGGAGGCTCCCCCCATCCCCCCATGGCGGCGGCCCTGGATCGGATGTATAATTTGAGATTCATGGAGTATTTGAAGTTGCTGAAAATGCCTTTGTTTCCATCAACATATTGAATGATACATTGAAATTTCTATCATTTTTAATTAGGCGAGATATAAAAACAAATTTCAAAAATCTTATATATTGAAAAAATGTACAAAACGAAAATCACAATGTTATTGTCAAGTCATTTTGAAAATGAAATTCAAAAAAAATTCACAGATTAAAAGCTATTATTCTTATGGTACCATACCATGAAAAGTTCAGTCAATTTAAAATTCACATGCAATCACATTCGTTCCCTATCAAAACCTAAACCTAATAAGTATTTGACTCTTAAATTAATATAATAGTACCTTTGGCTGGACATGAAGGATTGCATAATTTCGTCCCAAACCCCCCCAACAAATGGACTAATCTAATCACTTGAAAATATTGCAATGGCCAGAGCGTTGAGAAGAAATATGCACGTTTCCTTCGAAACTACCTATTATCACCCTTAACGATATCACTGAAACTAAAACGTTTCGTATAAAGCCCTGCCTCGTGTACAGGATAGTCAAAAACATCCAACACGTTTAATACTTTAGACACTCCCCCGTATATTGGAATCGGTTTTAGTCATAGATGGGTTCCTCGAAACCACAGTTCTCACGTTTGCACGTGAACGTCTCGTAGGGGGGTATTTGGGCCCCGTGGAGTCTCGAAAGTTGTGATCTATTCTCAAAAAAATTGTTGACGCCTCTAGGAATGGCAGCATACTGAAGTGGAAAATTTCCTCGTAAGTTTCTTTCCAAATCTAGTAAGTTTCGCTTTTGGTACATCACCCGAGTCTTTCCGTTTTCGTCAGGATTGGGGCGGTGACGGTTGAATAAGTCCTGAAAAATATTTGTTGTGAAAGTTTTTTGATATCAGAAAAATATAATCTCAGATCTTTGGAAAATCAATTAACTAGCGTTCAGCTCATTTCCAAAAAGGGCCAAAAAATCTTTCAAATAACTATAAACTAGTCGCTTTGCTATCAGTAACTAAAATTATGGCTCGCAAGGCTTCAACATCTTGAGCGATCTTCAATATGGCTTTCGGAAACAAAGATCAACAGACGATCTTCTATTGTATGTCACCCACATTTGGAATAACGCAATCAAAAAACATAGAGTCCAGAGCTGGTGCTCTTGATATTTCTAAGGCCTTTGACCGTGTGTGGCATGAGGGTATATCAACGACTTATTGAAAAAAAGAAGAATCCAATATATTGCTTTGCCAACGACAGCACACTTGTCGCATTATTTCATTTGGATTCCAGAACATCGGCTGCGGATCCACATTTTCACCGGCAGATGGAGGTTGCATATCTTAATGGGGATCTATGAGTTATTTCGAATTAGGGTGGAACTAACCACGTTCTATTCAATAACACAAAAACCCTGGCATCGGTTTTCTCCAAATAAATAAATGTTTTCGAACTTGATATAATAATTCCGCTTTCTGCTTCGATAAGTTTGTTGAGGATTCAAATGAATACCAATATGTCTTGGCACAATCATGTCGCTGTAATAGCAAAGGCTGCATCTCAAAATCTTGGAAAACAGTTCCGAGCCAGAAAACTGTACACACCTTAGCAACTTTTGATGCTTTATGAAGCTCAGATCAGACCTTCATTGAAGTATTTTTCTCAGGTATGGTGATCCGGACCTAAGCATACCGTGGAGCTACTTGATATCATCCAGAAAAGAGGCATCTGCCTGATTAGAGACGCGAACATCACTTACAACCTTGATAGTCCGAAACATCGAAGAAAGGTTAGGGATTCATCTTTCTTCCGTAGATACTTACACGGGAAGTGTTCAAGTGACTTGACACATTCAATTTCACCAAGAGCGTTACATATCAGAAATACGCGACGGACTGTGGCTGCTCAGAGGGTCGATATCTAAGTGCCGATAAAACTTCATTCTTTATGTATAACCAAACAAAAAATCTGAAGAAGTAAGGTCTGGAGATTATGCTGGCCAAGCAATTGATTCATTGTTCAATCCATTTTGTTAGGAATATTGCATATTGAAGTTTTCCCACTATCACCGTATTATGGGGATTAGCACCGTTTTGTTGACTTGTGAGGCACCAGTTTATTTGTAGCAATGTACCTGTAACGTAAATACGTATACTTAACGTCATGTCTAGCGAAAACAAATTACATTTTCGTATCACCTTTTCTTGGTTTGCAACTGTCGCATCAAATAATTCTTAGGTACGTACGGCGACAAGTTGGGATGAATAAATCTATGAGTATTGAGTATCTTTGACTGCCTAAGGCTTTGTTTCGTATAAAATGATAGAAATCCGAAATGTACAAACCTATTCAATGGGGAATATTGTCTCACTTAAACGGTATTATCTATAAACAAACTATTTAATATGCTGATTAAACGGAAATATTTTATGGAGCAGAAACCTGGCGTGCTTGAAAAAAAATCTGACATTTTAAGTACTTTATGTCTTGATACAAAAAATGTGGGAATCTTTCAAAGAAAGGAAGTAGTCAATTTTAAAATAAGTAACTCTATACATGGATGTGTAGAAAAGAAGTAACCTTCAGACACAAACTGGAAGAAAGTCCTCCCTTTACGTCGTCGAGTTTATACAACTCCTTCCGAGTCCACTTCACTACTCCAAACGAGTAGAGTAAGATTGGAACGGCCAGCATATTTGTTGCAGCAACTTTGTTCTTCCCCGACAGTTCCGATGACCAGATCTGTCGAAGTTTGTGCTGATACTTACCGCGGAGAGAGTTCTTCACTGCTCTTACCTATGGAGTGCCACAGTTATACCCTCGAGTATTTCTGAACGCAACGGATAATGGCAATAGTGAGATGCAGAACAGAAGAGGATCGAGGAACTAGCCCTGAAATACACCCCTTCTGACCCACCCATTATTATTATTATTGAACTTATCTCCACTCTCAGTGAAGATTTTATTGATGTCGCAACTTATGAAACTCTTAAAAACAATACGATATAAAAGTAAAGAATGCTAAGAGAGTAGTCTATCATAATATGATCCTATCTTCGGAAAACAAGTTCAAGACTTGTTGGCAGATTGTGAATTATAAACGAAATAATATTAACAAATAGTGATCATATAATTTTTACTCCAGCCCAACTGATGAAGCAGACGTGTAGTGAAACATGTCTTGAATGAAGTTCTATTCTATAATTATCATGATGGGTAGTGTTATTAGTTTTCATCAAGTAACGATAAAATTATATTAAGATTGGGATTTGACAAAAATTTGGCAATATAGTTTTCGTAAAAACATTCCACTCAAGTCATTTTCAGAGTAGTGAATATTCTAGTCGAAGATTTTGAGTGCGGAGAGCAAACTGCCGACAGACACACTGTGATCTGTCTAAGGTCTAAAGCCTTCGACCGTGTTTCACATAAAATTCTTTCAGAAAAGTTGAGCTGTAACGTGATTAGAGAAACCAGTCATAATCAAGTGGGAGTTTCCAAGGTGTTATGATCAGTAATACAAATTCAATTTCAGAAGAATCAAATACGGGGTATCCAAATGATCTCTGCGGATTACCAACAAAACGCCAAAAATGATTTTTTTTCGAATGTTTCAGTGCGCAATGTAATGATAGTGTGAAATTATTGGGATTGACAATAGACGCTATATTAAAACGTAGATTGTCTAATATAATATTTATTCTTCGCCAGCGACAAAAAATAACTGATATAGAGATTTTGAGAGTAGGCTATTTTTTCTTATTTTATTCATTGATAAACTATGGTGTCTAACACTGAAGTAGCTCCTCTAGTGCCTTGAAACTATGTCGACAACAAAAAAAGCTGAATTTGTCATGAAGATTTCAAATATTTCGTTAAACAATCGGATATTCATAATTATATTACCACGCAAGCCGATACATTTGGAACAAAACGGCGTCGATTATCGGTTTGTGATGAAACTGGCCGATACTTTATGAAAACGTATTAAAAAAACAGACTTCAATGTGAAATTTCCACTTGGAAGTTTACAAAACCACGACACGTGTTTCGCGTCACAATACTCAATTGTGACGCCCTAAGATGCTATTGTATAGCGAAACACGTGTCGCGGTTTTGAAAACTTTCAAATGGAAATCTCACATCAAAGTGTATTTTTTGAATAGATTATCGGTTTCACAAAAAACCTATCAATCTAGGTCTATACAAGGCTCTCCTTGCTACTGTCAAACACTCAAACATGCATGAATTCCGTGAAACAATGAAACATTTTTTAACGCGGATTTGTTTCGATCCAGTGAATGAGTACTTGAAATATATAACAATTGGAATATGCGAGTTTATGTGGGGCATGTTACCCAAAGTTCACTCAATTTCACTAACGGAACCTTCGATGCGCCGGGTATTTCGTCGTAGAAAGCCTTGTGACGGCAATGAGGGGCTTTGCTGTGATGGACGTGCTTTCTCTAGTTACTTTTGGACCTTTTATGGATCATGAAGTTTCTAAAGAATCCGACTCTGAAAATATGGGGGAGATGGACGTCGACTGTCCTCAAGAGTGAGTTCACGAACTTAGAACTCTTGTTAAAAACCTAAAAGATTAAGAGGTGCAGCAAGAAAGCACTTATCGTCTTCTCTAAATCAGCCTACAGCAAAGTTTTGAGCAGCAGAAGAAGAATCTGCATCAGGAGAGTAAACAAACTCCTCCTGATCAGGTCAGTAAACGCTTACGCTCTAACGATGATTCATGTCACGCATGTCAATGAGATGCTTCCCCATTATTTCTGCAGTTTATTTAGTGCACCCATCAGCAAAAAGATTCTTTCCGTTAACTTGTAGCCATCTATGCATGAATTTGGAATGCTCTAGAATCGTAACTGTGGAACATCTTCTGGAATATCCGCTACGGCAGCTATAATGGCATACTGAAGAAATTACAGTTGATTTGTCGATATCCAGGTTGATGGATGTTCAAGGAGCAACATTCTCCTGCATATACTGTAAGTCATATATTCCTTACGATTTTGCTTCAACTGCTCAATGATTTTAAGCAAGGCAGAGTCACGAGCTATTTAGGCCTTGAGGAGGCGACTACGTCGCTTTCTGGCTGAACCACCAAAGTTTGTTAATAGGATCAGGATCATCTCTTCCGTAAATCCTGGATTGTGAAGTGCCAAAATCTTGGGTACGTGATTATATAAGAAACAAGAAGAGTGAAAAATATATCCCGAAACACACAGAAGAATGTTTATGAAGATATACTTCTATTAAGAGGTCACTTGATTGATTTAGAGCTATAAAACGAATAATTGAGCTGCAGGCAATACGAATGTGAGGCACCCAATAAGCCTAGAAGGTTACAGTATTTTCCAGACTCTTGAAAGAAATGGAATAACAAAAAAAAAAAATTGAATATGATGTTCTACTAATGATATCATACATATCGTTTTATTGTTCTTATGGTTCTTGCATCCTATTAGAAGTAAAAAATGCTGGTAGTTTGTCAATTCAAACGATAATTTCCAATAACACTTGGGTTATCAGTGGTGGTCATATCATTTGTCTTCATAATAGAGGAGATTGCGTTAAATTATTATAAATGAAATAAATTCTACTCACTGGAATTGGGAATTCATCATCCGATAGCATCCTCACAAAGTTCCTCACGTTCCTCATATTCCTGCCCGGTGAAGGAGCCATTTCGAGAGTCTGCGAGGACGAAGCTCTGGAACCAGAAGACGACTCGGGAGGAGAACCAATCACGGAGGAAGCCGATGATGAGGGTTCATCGGGAACCGCAGTGGATGAGGAACTCGAAGAGGAAGCAGCGCTGGCAGATCTCGGGCTCTTCAGCAGAACCGATCCTTGATTGAAGACGCTCTGAAGATGGTCTGGGAAATGGTTCCGCGGCATGCCCGACAGAACCATTGCGGCTGGAAGGGCCATACTGGCTGACTCCTCGGAACTGAAAGGATTATCATTTTATTAAAAAAGCGGAACGTATTCCTATAGGAGCCTTCATGAATATTTCCAGAGCCTTTAACTTTCACACATAAGTAGAGATTTGTAATACTTAGTTTTGCTGTCTGAATTATCAACACTTTGTGAGATTTTGAATTTTAATTTTCTTGGAACTGATTGTCATTTCATCATCACGAATTCTATAGAAAATAATGTATGTTGGAAAGGAGGATCATTCAATTCTATCCATTCTGTCTATTGAAAAGTATATTCTTTTCACCTTGATTTGCCTCTCTATCAACAAATGATTAAAATTATTGAATTGATCTTCTCATTTGAAAACTATGGTTTATTTATTCTTCTGGAGAAAATCAGTTTATTATTCTTCTGGAGATAATTAGAATTCATTATTACAAATGAATTTCTTTACATNAATCTATTTTTTAGCATTCCATCTATTAATACAAAAAAAAATGTTAATTTTTCCAATATTATTCGACATTTTGCTGAACATCTGGCAACATTAGGTATGTAGAATTCTTTAGTCACTCAACAATACGAAAAAAAATTTGATTTGATTTTCGTTAAATGATACTACTTTCGTTACTGCTAGCGTACCGCCCCGACTCCACACGGGTGCAATGATGATACTAAATATACATATAAACGCGTGCGATCGCTGCTAATCATAAAGTGCTATAGGGCGAAGTGCAGCCTTCGACGCGCTATTTGTAGGCACGGGCCGCCGGCCCCCGGCAGGTACCGCCGCAACCGCTATGTACCTGCATTTCAAATTTGTTATATCTTCGAAAAATATCCATTTGAATTGCATGCTGTAAAGTGCCATATTGATCTATATTAAATGCACAATATATTTAAGGTACTTAATTGAATAAGGAGTAATGCTGTATTGCTTGAAATCGCTTCGTAAAATAGTAAAGGATGAAAAATGGTTATTGTGGGTTATCCCTAAGAGATAGACATATACCATCGATGACTTTTGTGTAGACCTTTTTAAGGTGTGGAATACTGTAGTACATTATTTTGATCAGCCAGTCTTTGCAATGTAAGCGCAAAAAAATTTGTTTATTTACGACATCACTTGAGAAACCTCTAAAATTGTCAGTATTTCTCTACTATATTATGCATGTTATATACATGTAAACCTTCTTCTTGTATCACTCTATCTATTGAAACAACGCGCATCAAAATCCGTTGGTTAGTTTTAAAGATGTAAACATACATAGGGACAGACAGCGGGAAGCGACTTTGTTTTATACTATGTAGTGCAACACCTAATATTTTTAATTAAATATAAACCGTAAATAATTGACAAAAGTAAATTACTTATGATCGTATTTTATGTAAAACACAACTTTAAAAAAATTGTCTTTTGAAATCTGTTTTTCCGTTAACCAGCGATACACATGTAAGTGTAACTGAGACTTCGACATATAACTGTCGTTCTCGCAGTCAACGCATATCACTGATGGTGTCTGTCGCAGTAGGAGACGAAACGTTTGATACTTCAGGTTCCATTAGACCTCGGCCCAACAGCCAGATTTTAATTTGTTCAATCATCAGTATCAAGCCCTAATTATTATTATAATTTTTGATGAAGATTTTACATTTTCTTTTTGTTAAAGCTCCAATATTTTAATTTCCTAAATTTTCCATTTTATACATCTATTCAAATATTATCTGTTTTTACTATTATATTTTGTAAATGATTTCAAACAAAATCAATCACATGATGCTTTTTCCATATCAATAACATTATTCTACTTTACTTGTCAAATGAAATATATGTCGTGATTTCAAATTCATTTTCAAACTTCAACTTCAACAAAAACGGTTCCATGTACTTTGTTTCCATACCAGAAACTTGTTTACGCATTCATTTGCAATTTTTAAAGAACACATTTTAAATTATTATAAAGAACCACATTTCTTTTAGGCGCGAAATGAGCGAATGCCATTACGTTCACAGAAATTAAAGAATGTTCAATTAAAGCAAGATTATCTCAGTTAAAGTCTATATAAATATATATACTAAGTATTCCTTAACTGTAAAATGTATATCGTCAATTCAACAGGTAACAGAATCCAATGTTGCAATTGACAGTTTCCTAGAACATAACCTATAAGTAGGTATACGATTCATCACAATACCGCTCAAAAGGACGCCATTTTCTAGAGAGGCCCCCAAGAGGATTTGTTTGACAATCTAGTGATTTCTTGTTTATTTATCTGAGTGATACACATAAAATCGTTTCATTGAATATATAAATACTAGGAATATACAGATAGTAATATTTTTTTAATACTGCTGCTGCCCAAATTTGTTTTGTAATTGAATATCTAATATTTTTTAGGTAACAATTGAAAACAGTTGAATTCAACAAATTAAAATGGCAGCCTCGATTCTTAGAAGTCAACTCTAAAACTTCAACAATTATTAACACACAACATATTTATATAGGTACAAACAAACATAATTACTTTACCGCCAAATGCAGATGGGCATAAAAACAACTGAGGGAGCAAAATTACCAACCCTATTGAGGTTATATAATATCAAAAAGAAATACTTTGTAAAAATTTTCATCTCACCTGTGAATATTACACACACTTGATTCATATTCACTTGACATGTTTTGTTGTTGATCCGCGAGATGCTGTAGGTTGACAATAGAAATGGACATGGAGTCATTTGGCATTTGCAATGTACACTAAGGGTCGGTGGATGTGGATAGTTACAGATTCGAAGAAAGGTCAGGTAGGGCAAATTATCTCTGACTGACCATTGGTGACTTAAAGAAATTCGAAGGGTAACGACCTTTAAGCTATTAGTTATCGTGAAAGATCAAACACTTTTTTTATTCAGTCTAAATACCTGATCGAAATCTATCAATTGAAAAATTCAAGTGTTCATCTATATCGGAATCAATTTTTAAATTTTTTTTAAAAGCTTCTTGAAGCATCCTGCAAGAAAGCTTCAGCATCCTGAATTTTCAAAATGCCTCAAAACAGAGAATTCAAAGATAATTATTATAAAGGGCGAGTTCAGTTTTTTCTGTTGAGCTGGTTTGTATTTTTCAAATTATCCATAATTAAATTTTTCAAGGTCCGAAACTTCTTAATTCTGGGGATTTCGAACTTCAACTTTGAAATTATTGAAGGATCTTTAATATTTATGATCCATCCCATTTTCAAAATGGAATAAAAAATACATGAGAAAAGAGAAGACGCGAAAAAGTGTCAAAAAATGCCAGAAAACATTTGTAAGTATTGTTTTTTCTTCCGAAGTTTAAAAAAAACAAAAAATTATTTAAATACCGGGCTAAAACAGAATTGTACATGCCGCCATTCATTGAGTCGTCTAAACCAATGCCCATGTGGACAGATGGAAAATGTTTTTCTGGGTTGAGAAGCTTGACATTTCTAATGATAAAACAATTCAAAACGTGTTCTGGTTTAGCAGGAAATGAACTCATGTCAATAATTTTGAGTTGAACCCTGTATTTTCTTGAAACTATTTGACATGCTGCAAAATTCTGTTTTCATCGATATTAACACAAGTGGCCATTTATATCAAAATAGCGGCAAAGGAGCCATTTCATCAAAACCCAGTATGGCGGCACTATGACGTCATCTATGGAGAAATTTTTAACCAACTTGCGGAAACAGCATAAGGGTGTTGCGGTTTGGTGTTGGGAAAAAACTCCAGTAATATTCGAAATACACTTATTAAAAAAAATAATCAAAAACTGAAATATCTCATGAAGCTACGTATTTTCAATTATTTCTATGAAATGTCACTTTTCCCTTTTTTATTTATCTCGAAAATCTTAGCAGTAACCGCTATTGCTTAAACTTTAACTTAAAAGTGCAGCTCTTGTACTACAGAAAAATAAATGTCAAAGAAACTTGGCGGTTCATTTTTCTGTGCCAGTGAAAAACTAGTAAGTACACTGGGAAAAATGATTGAAATTTACCTCGGAATTTTCATTTCGAANCGAGCTCGAATGGTAAACTGCTGGTTTTTCAATCAACAATCGGAGAGTCATAACACCTCAAATGATAAAACCACGAGTCCGTAGGAAGAGTTTGCATCGACATGTCCACGTGGACTAATTCGTTGCGGCATAATTCCTTTGTATTGGTTTTTTTGGCCTTTGACTTCGCCGACACCTTTAAGATTACTATATCAGTTACTTCGACTATACCTACAACAAAATTGCCTCAAGGTATAGAAAAATAACCCATACTATTTTTTTATGGTGGATGAGTGGGACACAAATCGTTCAGCTAGTATATTTGCTTTTTCTATGGATGTTGTTGCAATTGAACCAATGCAATTTGATGATTTATGTGGATGCATATACAACTGTAACATAGCTTGTAAGAAAGTTATCTCCTGATGATGCTAATTAGGTTATCGAAACGCGAGACAGAAAAATAAATGTCAAAGAAACTTGGCGGTTCATTTTTCTGTGCCAGTGAAAAACTAGTAAGTATATATGTAGTTATTAATTGTCAATGTAATCAGCTTTGAAACTTTCACTTTCACAAATTTTCACATGAGTCCTATATGCACTTTCGAAAAATAGAAAAAAAAGGAATGGCATAATTTTCATGAATATTTTCTTACCCGAATTCTGCACTATCACTGCTATTACTTGATTTTTTCGACATTTTGAACTAATAGAGTATTATCAAATGAACACTGAGCTTGGTTAATGCCGTTTCAGAAGGTCTCAGGTATCAACTGAGTTATTGTTTAACAGGAACAACTGATAATTTCCAAAATAAAAGGTTGAATGAATAATGAAGTACATATTGCCAACAACGGGAAGATTATATTTGTTTCCCAGAGCCCCGAACCCTTTTAATTATTCTTTGAATTCTTCTGACAAGACTAAAAATAATAACTGTTTTTGTGACTTTTTTCATTTAAAACATTGTAAAATTGTAGACTTGTATAATTGAGAGTTTCTTTTGGAAATGGTGCATTTTGACTAGTTGAAAGGTTGTGAACGTAAATTATTTTTATTACTATGAATACAAAAAAAAAGTTAAAGAAGGAACATTCAGGAGAATGTTATTTTTTATTTTGCAGAGATTCAAAACACTAAATGAATTTTAATTATCTGAATGAGATGAAATCCTATTGTTGAAAAGCTGGCCAGATTATTTGTTGACATATTGTAGCTAATGATTTAATCCGCTGATGTTGTAGCATAATTTATAGCCAAGCGATTTTTATGACATCAATAAAAAAGTAGTTGCATAAAAACTTTTAAATATTCAGGGTAACCAGTGATGTATAGTTCAAGTAAAAGATATAGTGCCTCCTACCTTCCAGCAGTTCCCCTTTAATAACACACCCAACGGCGGTGCTCATCGCTACATTCTTTTGGTCACCGTAACATGACTTCAAATTTAATTTTATGACTCTTCAGCCAATCATAAAACTCGGTTAGTAAAAATTATCCAATACGAACCGCAAATTCTTCAGTCCACATGGACTAATTCGTTGCGGCATAATTCCTTTGTATTGGTTTTTTTGGCCTTTGACTTCGCCGACACCTTTAAGATTACTATATCAGTTACTTCGACTATACCTACAACAAAATTGCCTCAAGGTATAGAAAAATAACCCATACTATTTTTTTATGGTGGATGAGTGGGACACAAATCGTTCAGCTAGTATATTTGCTTTTTCTATGGATGTTGTTGCAATTGAACCAATGCAATTTGATGATTTATGTGGATGCATATACAACTGTAACATAGCTTGTAAGAAAGTTATCTCCTGATGATGCTAATTAAGTTATCGAAACGCGAGCCGACAGACATCATTTTTGTTCTTGTTTTCAATAGACTCATTTTCCGCCAGACGTTCAAAATTTTATTTACCAAAACCAAATTTACAATTATAAAATTCTCTGCCGATTCATCTCGTATTTTTAAGAGATGCTGAACATACCACACCGTACAATATAGTTGTTACGGTTATATATAAAATATATAGGTAATAACGAGGTTACTTATGCTGAAAATTTCTGTTTTGTTGCCTTTCTTTGAGCGGTGTGTTAAAAATATATTCCCCAGTTTCGAAAACTGTCTTGTACTTAATGTCAACAATTATTGATCGTATATACATCGAAGAGATGCAAATACATGCGCCAGCCGCATCCATCGTACTGCCCTGATTTGGTACCTTATGATTTTCGACAACCAAAGAACGGTTGGGGCTTTCAAAATGAATAATGTGTATATACTTTTATAGGTGTGAAACAGAACAGAAAAAAATTATAATTATATAAGTAAGTTATCATCTTCCAGTCAGTAATCTCATGACTTTCTTTAATTGAAAATATGGGCTTCTGAATATTTCATAGCCGATATTCTCGTTACCGATTTCGAATGAAGATAAAGAAGAGTTGTATAAATATTTTTGACCTTTCTAGAATCCACAGTAGTTAAGAAAGATAATTAGTTTCGATAATACATTCAAAACAAATCGAATTATCTACCTTTCGATTGCAACTTTACAAAATATTTACGATTTATTTTAAACAATTGAACGGGTGGAATGCATTCGAGAACAAACCATGGAAGTTTTCATTTGTTTTTCATTGAAGACAAGAATCTTCGACTGCATTAACCTTTCAAATTGTATTCTTATGCTTGGAAAACCTTGACGTAATATAAATATAATTTTGTGTTGATAATGATTCTTATCGACCAAAGTAAAATAAAGAAAACAATATCTCTACTTATCTGTGTAATGCGAGGAAATATGCATTGTTTACAAAACAGCTTAATATATTACCTTTTGAAATAAAACGGTTTCACCACACTTCACAAACTCCCGGTCATGTGTTTTTTTGTTGCAAGAAACGTTGGACACCTCGCAACAAAAAACACTTTTGAATCGACTCTGTTACATTTGAGGAACTCGAGAATACTGGACTACCTTTTGTGAATCCCAAAAAGTAGTGCTAAAATTATCAATTTGATGTAACTGATGTTTTGGGTATCTAAAATTGATAAGATATCTGTTTCAAATCCATCTTTTTTTAAAAAAAACATCAAATCGAATCATCAGCGACATCTCGTTTCCAACGGTATAAGTATAATATATCTGCTTCAGTTTACATTTTTTTCTAAAATGTTATATTCTATCTGTAACTTTTGAAATTACTCTGGTACGCAGACTTTCAGTAAATTATAATTGAAAACAAAATGATATTTCCAAGTACATTCGTATGATCAACGATTCGATATTAAGACTTGTCGGCCCTCTATGTATCGGTAAAAACATTACATTACGTGTAGACGGAGATATCTGTAACAGTCATGTGCTAGCTGTATTACTTTTTCACAAGATGTCACTTAGTTTACAAATTTTCAATTTCTTCTAGATTTCGAAAAAATAAAGATAAATTACAGGGCAATACAGAGGAAAAAGAATTCAGAGCGGTTTTTCTGACATTCTACTTCCACAATACTAGTAAAGCTAGAAAAAAAAACTTGGGCGTTTCGGAACGCTCGACAGAAGTGATAACCTAAACTAATCTATTTAATATCGAAATTGTTTAACTTGAGAAAAAGTTAGGTTTTTACTCAAATTTTATGTATATCAATATGATAATGTAAGGAAAGGTTATTTAATAAAAATAAAAAAATTAAAAAGAATAACTGAAAGTTAAAATTATGTTGAGCAAAAAAACAATTAAACAAAAAAAAATGAAGATATTCCAAACCCAGTCACTTCAATTACAGTGAAGTAACTGGGTTTGGATTCTCTTTATTTTTGTTTAAATGTTTGGTCGTGATACTCAGACGGTTCAAACCGTTCTGAAGAGACTATGCCCAGTACTGATGATGGTGCAAGCACCCCGAAACCGATAGACCGGTTAGGTGTTATTGATGAAAAGCGATGTTAGTTCTACCACAGCATAGGTTGCTGTGGTTCTACATTATATGCTCACTATCAACAGTATATCGCACGATCGTATATTGAATACTGAATCACGGGAAGGCGAGAGAATTGTTTGTCCAAGACACAGCGGTAACCATTCATAATCTCAAAATTCAATTTAAAATTTCCAACACTTCTTTTCAATAATTACAGTATTTACTTCCAAGTAAGCACTGATGATGACGAAAGTCGAAAGTGCTTTGCAGTAAGATTTTACAATTATACACTTCTATACAAAATTCTTCGATTCATTCATAGATGAAAAGAGCAAATTTTTTTCACTTTTTTACATTTTTCGACAACTTTCTGGATAATCTATATTAAATAAAAGTTTGCAGAACTACATATTGGAACACCAACTGGAGTGTACAAAGTTATAAAAATTATTCATCTCCTGTTGACCATGATTGGTGAAAAATGCCACGAAAAAAGGATTTTCACAAAACAATATAGGTATATCGGAAATAAATATCTGTGCATAGAAAGATATATGTATGAAAACTTATAATAATGAGTTTTACAGACGTTCGCATATGTAATGTTCCATATATGGCACATTTTTCAAAATTATTTCTATATTCATACTCTTATTGGTTTCAACTTTTACAAACGCTTTCCATTTTATTATTACAATTCATGTCCACGTTAGTCAGAGCATCCAACCAAACTGAGTAATTTCTTTGGCTTTCAATAATTTAAATTATCTACTTTAGGCGTGTTATCAAATTCAAATGAAGTCTTTGACATTGCAACGAAAATAATAAATCCTTGAAAAAATATTTTCTTCCCGTTAACTAACTGTCGACTCTAACGAAATAATTTATAATTTTTTCCGTTCATAAAACAGTTCACAGTCACAAATATATGAATCAATTTCAGCAATTACACTATGAACTTTCCGTTTCTTTTGTTGTTTTTTCAGTACATCAGAATGTACATAATTTCATATGCAGGTACTTATTGCTCAATTGAAATCATAATTATTCAATGAAAAGAATTGAACATACAAACTATTCCTCTTATTGTTTGTATTTTTTGAATGATGTAGGTGCAGTACATGACAGGATTTTTCTAAGTGCATAATCATATAATTAATTGAAAATTGGATACTTAGTTATTTTAATTTCCATTTTATTTATATCTATTTTCTATAATATAGTCTTCTTGTCAACAAGAACCATTGTTTTCATGAAACATTAAACATATAGGATCATTAAAAAAACAATTGTTTCTTCTTCTTTAGGGCTCGAAAAGGAGTTTTTTTGTGTTGATAATGATTCTTATCGACCAAAGTATTTTTATATTGGATGAATTTTCGAACATTGGATAACTGATGTTTATTGTTGTTATTCACTAATCTGTTTAAATATCTTAAAATATGTTTTTCCGTTAATCAGTTGTCGCCCCCATACGAACGACAACTCTCAAAAGTTGAGAAACTTGTGCGAGCTAAGGACTAACGAGGTCTTACCTTTTAACGTGTGATTCCTAACACGGCTGCAGAATCATGTCAGCTTCAACCAGATAAATTCTCTCGAAAAACATCTGGTCGAGGCGGGAATCGAACCCACGGCCTTCCGACCGTGAGACGGACACACTACCACCGCGACCAATTTCATATACAAATAAATTCATTAAGAATTCAAATTGGTCATACGACCAATATTTCAACACTTAAAAGTCATAATATTTTCACATAATGCGGCAGTTGTATCGCCAACAGCATATGCAGGAATAACTTCTGTGAAGAATCCTGTACTGACACCTGTCGGATATAATTCAACGCCCTTCGTGGTATTAGCCAGGGGAGTAGTTGTTTTCTTATACATACAACGCCCTACACCTACAGTGTAGGGAGTTGAGACTGGCCTGAACGAATTGTTCTTTTAGATGATTTGATTTATAGCCAGTCTTCAAGTATACCCACTTCCTTATCGGGGTAAAAGTGGTTTTTGACCAATGTACTCACTGAACACATCTGCAGTCTGGTGAGGAAGTTGTGAACTAACATAAACAGAAAGGCATCAGCGTTGTTGAATAGTGTGTGATTTGTTAGCAAAATTTTAAAATTTTCCCAATTTGTAAGTATACTTACTTTGTTGTTAATTTAGTTTTTCATCATTATACTAATACGGTCAGTGTTGCCCGATCATAATTGTGTTTAACCGTAGATTTTGTGCCAGAAAAGTAGTAGATTGATACAAAAAACAGTAGAAAATATATTTCATAGATACATTCTACATGCATGGTAATGTTTTCTATTTACGAACATACAATAATCATTATGGAAAATAAATTGAGTTTCAAACAATAGAATAGAAGTTCAAGAAAAAAGCGGAACTACTACAAAAACAGTATACTTGGCAACATAGAACAAGGCGCTCCTCTCGTGCGATTTCTTCTTCAACTGTAGTGGATTGATTCGCAATATTCCGTAGTCTGATTACATCATGACTTCGTGTGGAAGTTCGATATTTCTGCTTACGGCAATGTAAATAACACTATGATGGATACTGCTGACTTTGCTTCTTTTTTGACATACAAATTATTCATGCGCCTTAGGTCATAATCTCATGACGCCTATCATGACATCTATCATAATCTAACAAACTGAAGTCAGGAATTTGTTTATTTTTTGATACTTTTTTGATATGTCAAATGTTTCAATAGTTATTTTGCTTTCTTGGGCGGAGACAAATAAAAAAAAATAAAAATGACGAAAATCGGTCTATCGGGTTATAACTAGTGTAACTGATACGATTCTGCGACCCTGTTTTGTACAGGCGGTTTTTTTCAGCTGATCCTACTAGAATAATCTCATTTCAGATCGAGAATATCAGTGGTTGTTTCTGATATATTCGCCAAAAACTAGACTTGCCGAATTTCGTTTTTTGGCTCTAGCCCCTCCTTTTCGAATTATATAAAAAAAGGCGGACGAACTTTCAATACTTTTTTCAAGTTCACTGGTGAACATTTTTCCTCAGGGCGGCCGCTTTCCCCCGTCTTCCCTATGCTAATCAGGGCTAAGCACGGGTCCTTGCGGAACACCATTCCAAACTCGAGACGTCCATCGCATCTCTCTAACCGTTCCACGCCATTCGTACGCCCGTAATCGCCTTCAAAAATCAATAACCGACAATCTTAATTCAAATTACACAAGCGGCTCCTTATACTCCTCGATCGGGAATTCAAAGTGGTCTGTAACGCAGGACCACAGCATCGCAAAGCAACTGCGTCCGCTTCGGATCTGGCGGCCGAGTGGGGATCAGGGGATAGCGAGAAGCGCCTCCCCCGAACGTGGGGGCGTTATTGATACATGTTACGCCTAAGAGACGGTAGCGTTGCCTGGCGGCCGAGCGGGTAACTAGCCGGAGAAAAACATCCGAGATGAAATTGAAAAAATTGCTCATTTCCTCTATTAGCGGTATATATCGTAGTGATCTGTGGGTTTCAGTGATCGCTTTTTGAGGAGGTTGGCGATAATGTGACAAGGATGGGAAAATTTTTCACTTTTGGAAGGAGAAACGCGTGTGGAAATGGTGACTTATTATCTAAGAGTGACAATTAACGCTTCATTCACCTTAACATGATGTGATCGAACATGTTTACAGATGTGTATTCTTTCATATTCAGATAATACAAGGTATTGAAAAATTTCAAATTTTGGTGGCAGCGGTGGGATAAATATGAAAATGAAACAACCGAAGAAGATTTAATAACGAAGGGTTTTCATTTGACAGAATAGGAACAGACACAGGTCCAAGAAAGCACTCACAAAAGATATCGTATATACTGATTGTAGGGTACTAGGGAAAAATAAAATACTATACCTATTTAAGAGGGGACGGTCATTGAAAACTACAAACTTTCAAAAGACAATTTTTTATTTTGATAAGTTTTCTACATTATGGAAAGTGTGCAGAAACTGTATCAATAATGATACGAATAAGGTAGATCTGAACGTTTCTGAAATTATATGAGTAATTAAAAAAACAGTGTTGATGAAATGTAAGGTAGATATGAAAAAAGATCTTACTGGAAGCCACAGGAAATTGTCGCTTCTGAATGTAATTCTCCGAAGACTTATATTTGTACAGAAAACTTGTAATAAAATATAAAGATGATTATTTTTTCTTGATTCAATAGAAATCTGCTAGG